ATTTTTACATGGGTAAGGGAACAGTAACGAATTTAGAGAGCAGCACCAGAGACGATTGCCTCTTTCATTCAAACAATTATTCGATTTTTCTCAGCAGAATATGTCTAAAAGCTGAATCGATAAGATCTCTAATTTGACTTAAAAACATGTTTCATGACTATGATCGCTAGCAGTCACCAAAATCCTAGGCCCGGCACTGTAAGGAAGAGTGAGATGAAAACTCCATAGGGTAAGGATAGGATAGAGGTTCTACAAAGGAGGATAAGATAAGGGTTAGAAAAATTTTCTCAGTCAGGATACAAGATACAGGAAAAGCTTACCCTGCCGATTTTCAATGTAGAATTGCAGTTTTTGTCAAAATGTAGTCTCATTTCCATAGTTTATGTGCTCAAAATTGTAGCTCTCAATGTCATATATTCACTCTGATAGACTAGAAGTGCTAAAACTGATATACTTCCATATCGCTCAAAATTGATCATACACCACACGCAGAATATAAGAACATATTAAAATTAGAAATGTCGTATTTCATCCTTTTGAACGAGAAGTTACATTTGCTTTACGATGTTTTGACTAAAAAGCAAGTGAAACTTCGTTAGAACCTTTTCTAAATGTGTCATTCCATAGAAAGGGTTGAAATATGAAGTACAATATTCAGCAATTTGTGTGCACATGGTTCATGATCAATTTTGAACGATATCGTAGCACATTATTTTTCGTAGTTTTAGTCTGACGTAGAAAATATAAACCATGGTGCGTTGACATTTTGAGCAGATAATCGATGAAAACAAGCCTATATTTTGGCGAAAATTGAAATTCTATATGTTGAAACTATCTTGAGATATTAGAAAAACAAGACGATTGATCAATTTTAAGCGCTACTATATATAATTATCGTTCTTGATACTTTTCTTTGTTTGTTTTTATTTCAATTGGTTTATAATCTGATATTGATATACTTCGTCGTACTTTAATTTGTTTTTGATTATTTAATAATTCACTTGTTGCTTCTAATGAATCAGAACTTTCAATAGATGATGTACTAGTTGAATATTTTAGTGGTGATGATGGAATATCTTGTAAAAGTAATGGTTTTAAACCAAGTACAACTGTTCGATAGAAACAATCTTGTGCCCATTTTGGCATAAGATCATTTGTTGAATTATCTAATTCACGTAATGGTAAAATAGAATCTTGTAAACAAGATGGAAGATGTTGTTTTGTTTTTGTTGGAGATGAACTATTCGATGATGATGGTGAAGATGATGATTGAGTATTTGTTGTCGCTATTGTTGTTGTTATTGGTAAATTAGGTGGTCGTCGAGGAACACGGGGATTTTTCACTCGACGTGATGATAATAATTTAGATTTCTGAATGCTAGAATTCGGTATAACTGTTGTTGGAAGAATAAGATTTTGTGTTGAACGAGATTTTGATATATTTTTAGTAGATGGTAAACGAGTATCAAGAGAAACAACTGATGGAATCCGACGTGTTTGGGAAGAAGAAATAGCTAATGAAGAATTTGAGATTGATGAAAGAAGAGGAATTACCGGCGGAGGTAAAGTTACTGACATTGTATTTTCACGAAGTTTATTTATTGAACTTGATGTATGAGCAGCATATGATGGTAATTGACAATTAGAAGATGATGATGATGATGTTGTATCTGTAATATTATTGACAAGAGAAAGAGATGAACCACGAGAACGATCTTCAGATCGTGTTCGATTAACTGAAAATTCATAAAAAATTTAAAACTTTATTTATTTTATTATGAGAAAAATTTATTACGAATTTTTCGTGTTATTGATGGTTTTGATGATGTTATTTTTGATTCATTTGTTGTTGTTGTAATCATTGTCCGTGATTGAATATATTTACTTTGACGATGGGATGTTGTTGATGAAATTAGAGACATATTTTCTTGATTTGTATTAATTGCTGTTAATAATGTATCAGTCGTTCTAAAGAAATAATTAACTGCATCATTTTTTTTTATGAAACATGATCTAAAAGAAGTGTTGAAGTGTATAGAGTAGAAACCTAACCCCCTCCCATTCGCCGCAGACCGTAACAGACGCTAGTTAGAGACCATCACAGATCTTGCAGATGTTGTTGATGTACAATCAAAAAGCATATATCAATAACGTTTCATTCTAATATAATTATGAATTACTTCTTTACTGCAATTCTACAAGGTTAAGTAAAAAGATGGTAAAGAAATGTGCCCAAAAATAGATAGAATAAAACAATCTCCCTATGCTTAGCAAGAGCGACTACATCATGTTTTACATTTTAACCCTTCAAGGATTGTTCTAAGAGGTTTTTGATATATTTTTCTCTTACATTGTATCTTTTGAAATCGAACGAAAACGAGCTGACACACTTTTTCGTTGTTTGATTTCATTTGATGAAATATCTTCATTATTAATAATTGTATTAGTTGCGACATTTTCGTGATCATAATTTTCGGTAAAAAATGAATTCATTTTTCCATTTGTACTATTTATTGTTGTTGAGAATGTTGGATCATCATCTATGAAATATAATCAATAGAAGTTTTGTTTTCTTTTGCTTTTCGTTTAATAAGAAAAAACAAATAAACCTTCATCAAGAAAAGCTGATGCATCATCTTGTGAACTTATTGAACGAACCATTTTATTACATGAACTGAAAAGAATTAATTATTTTATTGGATGATGAGAAAAAAAAATTATTTTTTACTCTTCATTAAAGATATCAAATAATTGTGTTCGAATAAATTTTGATTCAAATGACTAAAATAAATAATTAAATAATTCATTGATTTGAAATTTTTTTATACTAAATACAAACTGGTAAACGTGGTTCAACTGTTGCCCATAAACTTCGTTGACCTTTTAAATTTCGTTGATGTTCATCATTAATATTTGATGCCTAAAAATCATGAAAATATAATTATTTATAAAAATCAATTGATCAAAACTGTACTTGTGATATTGATTCATTGACTTCAGTTCTAAAAAAGATTAATAAATAAAAATTAGAGAAAATTAATATAAGACAACCAAATTTAAAAGATTCATTTTTTCTTTCTGATAACGACAATTTGAGAAAAGGACTGAGCATTCGGAAGAATTTTCGATCGAAAAAAGAGAAATTCATTAAAAACTGTCATAGTCAGTGTTCGAAGAAAGCGTAAGCAGAAAGGCATAGAAGATACTCTAAACAATCAGATATATTATTATTTGAACCTTGACATGACTAAAGCTTCAAAGTAAAGGTTGTATTAACAATTTTCTTTAGCTTACGTTTACTTTTCTTCATCAATTTTTTCATACACGGTCATTGAAATCCACGAGTCAATGCTACATATCTGTTTTCTAATGAAATCTGAGACATTTCTTATAATAAATCTGTCTTTTCAAGAGAATAAATATTACTAAATAAAATGTAGCATCGTTAAGATTAGAGATGTGCAGGACTGTCCTACTCTGCAGGTTAGGACAGAGAAGGGTAGAGGTTTTTCAAGGTAGGCTAAGGGTTAGAAAATTTTCCTCAGTCAAGGTACATAGTACGAAAAAAGTTTACTCTAATATATATAAGTCATAAATGAGTTCGAATGTCTATTTTTTCTCTCATTTAAAAGGTAATTTCAACCATTTAACAGCACTAGATGTTTGAAAACCTTTCGTAAATGAAGAAGACTTCTGTAAAAGAACCTCTCAAAGAACTGACAGGAAATCTCTTCGAATGAAATCACTTTTCGAACGAGACGACGTTTATTTGATAAACACTAGTAAGTAATAGAAAACTCTAGAATGGTTTGGTTTTTCGAGCCTTCGTTCTTGAGATATTGGAGTTTTACTGAATTTTTCAACGAAAAGCTGTTGGTCCTTCAGGTCATGTAGAGAATTAACTTTCGAGTTTCGACTTCAAATTTGCACAAACAAAGTTCTCAATGAGATTAATTCATTGAACAAGCTGTAACTTTTCTAATATCTTCTACCGTGAAATATTCAATAATCGAAATTCTTTCATATATAAGAGCAAATTTTGCTCATACATTTATATTTCTAGAAAGAAAATAATAGAAAACCTAAAAATTGCACAATCAACTAATTTTATTAAGAACCTTGTTCGTGTAAAGTTTGAAGTCGAAACTTGAAAGGCGATGTTCCACGTGCCCTGAGAGACCACACACTTTTCTTGAAAAACCTAGCAAAATTTTGATATTTCAAGAACGAAGTCCTGAAAGACTGAACCATTCTAGACTTTTCTATCACTCACTAGTACTCATAAAATGAACATGGTCTCGGTCGAAATGTGATTTGACTCCTGAAGAGGTTCCTACGTCAAAAACATATCATTTTAGAGCTTTGAAGAAATTCGAAAATTTGAAAAGTGAATGAAATAAACACCATATATCCTTAATCTCGCTAACAGCACTCATAAATCTCTCTTACAAGAATTGAATGCTAAAAGTATGTTATCGAAAATAATATCATTTATTTTTAAAAATTAATTGTCACTTACATTTCTAGATCAGTTGATTTCGTTGAAGATAATGGTTGAATCCGACATGTTGTTGGTACAATTGCTAATTCAGTAATATTCCAAACAAAAATACAGCTAAAATTTACATTGAAAATAAATGTAACAAATCAAATTATCTTTACCTATCACCCGAAATCGTATATAAATAATGTCCATCTTGACTAAATTTTAAATCAGTAATAATTTCACTATGTCCACAAAGAGATGCAACACATTCTGTCGTTATTGTATCCCAAATATAAACACATTTATTCGAACAAGATGTTGCTAAGTATCGTCCTGATGTATCAAAATCAATTTTAATTAAATAACCAGTATCGTCGCCAATGGATCCTTTACATGTTCGTACTCGTTTACCATCTTGTAAGTTATAAACTCTAAAAATCGAAGAAAAAAAAAAAAAAACATCAAAAATAGAATTTTAATATAAAAGAAAACAAATGACCTTATCATTCGATCTTGACAAGCTGTACTAACAAGTTCACGTGTATGATCAATAGCTAAATCATAAAATGTTTGTTTTTCAACAATATTATTGGAACGCATAAATTGATATTTTCCATTTTCATTCTAAATCAAATTGAAAAAAAATACAAAAAAAGAAAAATCTTTAAAAGCTAAGAAAAAAAAACGTTTACTTTTGTAACTGAACGAAATATCAATGACTTATCGGCACTACATGAAATTAATTGTAAATTCGAAGTTATTGATGAAAATGTAAAACGAATAGTTGTTATAGCTGCTGAATGATCATCTAATGTTGCAACAAGTTGATAATCTTTTGTTACATCAAATATATGAATAAAACGATCACGACTACTTGATGCCAACAATGTCACACCTTTCATTTAGATTAAACAATATAAATTTTTTTAAAAGAATAAAATCAACAAACTCATATCAGATGAATAACTGTAATCAACACTAAGTACTTCACTATCATGTGCTTCAATAAGTGCAATTTGTTGAAATATTTCCATATTAAATATGTGAATATTTCCATTTCTGTCACCTATTGCTAATGATAAACCATCGGGATTTATTTTCATACAACGACCACCAATTTTTGGTACAAATTCAGGTCGTTCTAAATGAATAGAAAGAAAAATTAATGTCACTTTAATTAATCACAATTGATTAGTTGAATATTTTTGTTTTCGATATCATCAAAAATAAAACAAATCTACATGGTTGACAATATATTTTTGAAAAAGAGTAGATCTTAATAGAATCTAACCTTGTGTTGTTTGACTGTGACATAATTTTGAATAATCATCATCTAAATAAACAATTTTCATTAATTGTCTACTAAATATATTTGAAGATAATGATGATGATGATGATGATGAAGTAAAATGTGAATCAGTTTCCTTATGATTTAATGACCAAAAACGTATAGAATTATCAGATGAACATGTTATAAATGATAAATGTGGAAGAATCGAAGGTGATGTGTTCATTTTTGAATAAGTCTTAAAAAAATTCTCCTCATAAATAATTCAAAATAAAAGAAAAATAAATATATTTTACTTCAATTTCCCAACCACAACCTGAATGATACAGATGAGAATCACGTTTTTTTATTGATCGTTCATTTTTAATATCCCATATATAAAAACTATGATCATTATAGAAACATGTTAGCTATTAATTTAAAAACAACAAATAATATTTTTTTTTAAACTTATTTTAAAATTTGTTACTAACCACAGATTTATCTTCATCTAAACAAATAGCAATTGTATCAGGAAAAGACATATTTTGTTGTTGTGGATGCGTCATTTGACTATAAAATATCACAAAAAAGAGCAAATAATAAACATACATTAATTTTATTTCTTTACTCAATCGATGTAATAAATGCAATATCAACACCCAAATAATGTGGTAAAGGAATCGACATAATATATTGAAGAGTTTGTGGTGAAAATATATAAACAGCACCTTTAGAACATCCAACCACAAGATATAAATCACCAATAGCTAAACAATTTGCTTTTTCCTAATATAACAAAAAACATGAATTTTTCTTTTGTTTCAAAACAAATTGTTTTTTTTGTCTACTTGAAGATCACGTTCACCACGCATTTGTCGTTGTTCATCGAATTGACACATAAGACCATTAGCTGTTATAACATAAGTCATACCAGCACAATCACCACGTCCACAAACAACATCAGTAAATAAATTATCTTTACGTTCAGTTAAAATTGCATAACGACCACGTAATGGTACAACTTCCAACTAATATTATAAAATTATTTATTCGTCATTTAAATTTAAAAAAAAATATATACTGATGATGTTGATATTAAATACCAAAATTTCACATAACGATTACCAACTGTAACAAAATAACTTCCATCTTCAGCGAAAGCAACACGACGAATCTAAGATTTAAAAAAAATTCACGATAATAAATAAAGATAAAATTTTTCGTTTTCTTACAGCGCATGTACATTTATTTGATGCAAGTTTTTTTTTATCTTTCCAATTCCATACATATATATTTCCATCATGTAAAGATCCAATCGAAACTAGACGATCAACATTTGGCGAAAAGCACTACAAACAAAAAAAAATCATCAATGACAATATCAACCGATTTGATTGACCATGACTTAGTCAAAAATGAAAAAATCGAAAATAAAAATTTCGAAGATGATTATTACTAAAATGCAAAAATATGGAAGTAAAAATAAGTTGAAAAATTTTTTAGAAAATTTTAAGCAGCAACATACACTTTTTCTTTATGGTGTGATGCTAATAACTTAACAGACATCATATACAGATCAATAAATGCATAAAGAAAAGATTTATAAAAACATTTTTTTTTTGTTTCACTACTAGAAACGACAAGCCATCTAAATATTTACTGTGTCGTAGAAAGGTTGAAAGAAAAAATATTGAAAAAGCAATGTTAAACGTTATTTATGATACAAATTCTATTCGATTTTCGATATGATATCTCGTTTGCCTAAAGTAAAATCCAGATATTATAAATAGTGTATGGATTTTTTTTCAGCATCTCGATATAATGAAGCGAGATTAAACGCTGATCTTATCAATGATTAATCATCCCTGACACTGATGATAATTTATCAATGGATAGTTGTTAACATCTTTTCTTTTAATTAACAGAACCCTATAGAAGACTAATAATAACACGTTTATTATTGCCGTGCAGAAGCAAACACAAGTGAAACATATCAAAGTTCTTTGTTTATCAAATATTTCTATAGAAAACACAATAAAACTTCGCCATACATAGATGACAGTGAATATTTGATACTAATATTAACGAATACAATCTCATTTCTATGAATACAATAGGGCAAAACTTATCTACAGAAGAGGTCAAATATCGATATTTATTCCTATTTAAACAAGACGCTTGGTGAAACACAACATAGTTTCCTAGCGATTTCTCAATATGAACACATTGAATTAACCAATGCGTTTTTTTCATAATAACCATAGCAAGATAAGATGTAATAAATTCAACAACAACTTTCAATCATAATAGTAAATTTTCATAAATTCAATCGATGCTAAGAGTTTTTGTTATCTGTACGATGTCGTAAACTCAAAACTGAAATTTGAAATGCTTTGCATCTTTCTTGCACTCTGAGCTGAATTCAGATACCATCTAGTTTATTTAGTATGTCATAGTCAAATACAAGTTTATCATCTCAACATTTAGTCGTTCATAAAATTTCTTCAACGAGAAGAGAATTATTTTTAATATATGCATATTCAATTTAATGTAGACCTAGGAGAAAAACCAAAACAAGTCAAAACAATTGCAATTCAACATCGAATAGACAATCTTGATGAACAATATTATGTTGGCTTTATAAATTTAATGGAAGATTCAGATGGTTTATCATTTATAGTTGCTAAATGGAAAAGAATGACACTTTATAATTTTTTTTATTTTTATTTTTTATTTCTTAACTTTTGTATAATCTTAGTTAGAATGTTAGTATTTTGTCATATACAATGAAAAAAATAAGTCTTGTTAATCGGAATCTTCTAAAGCATTTTTCGATTATTTTCCATTTCTACATTTTTCTTTTCAACCTTTCTAAGGTGAATTCAACATTTCGTTATATATATCTGCAAGGTGTTTCAAAAGTATGCTGTGAAATAAAACTGCAATAACTCTTTAATGATTTAAACGATTCACATGAGATTTTTATTATATCATATGATACTCTTGGAAGTTTTATTTTATACGTTTTCATCCATAAGTATTGTTTCAAATGATTGCCATTAACACTAACGCATGAAACCATATGTTTCGAAGTATATGACTTCATGCCTTAGAGTTAATACCAATCATTTGAAATAATAACTCTAGATAAAATCCTATGAAATAAAACTTCCAAGTATATCATATGAAATGATGAAAAGCTCATGTGAATCGTTTAATTTGTTGAAGAGTCATTGCAGTTTCTTTTCACGGGTGACTTTTGAGACATCCTGTAGAAATGTGGATATGGATCTTCTATGAATCCTCACCCACATCCTGCTACAATCATTGTTCATTTTTATAATGTATTCCTCATCTAGCTTTACTATTGGTTATACATACAGATCAACAAAATAATGAGAAAAACAACAATAAACTAGAGACATCACCTTTGTCAATACATATAGTCTCGACATTTCTTTACTTCGATATTTTCATTTTCGATCAAACTACAGCATCCCGCTGATTCTTTTATATTTATTTTATTACAAAAAGACAGGCATCACGATATAATTCATTCGTTCTTTCTTAATACTCGAGAGAATATAACTAATCTTCAAGATAGATTCATTCCTTCAATTTGTTTACTACGTAATCATGAGAAAAAAAAATACCTAAAAGAATTCTCAATCTAAAATGAAGTTTCATATCATCATCTTATTATCTATTGATTACATCATAAACAACTGTTTAGTTCTATTATTTTTTTTTTGCTCTTTTTTTTTAAATAAACTTACCACACAATCAATAGCAAATTTATGATCACCCAATTCAATACAAACTGTTTTATCACCAGTCAAATCCCAAATGCGTACTTTAGGATCATGACCACACTATAATTATTTTCTATACATAAAATAAATCAATAATTATTTTTATTGATTTACTTCGCCTGTTGCTAAATATCGTCCATCAGGTGATAGTGATAATGATGTAATAGCTTTTCGAGCTGTATTAATAATAAAATCTTGTTTTTGCGTATGAATATCATATAGAACAACAGTGGAACTATAAATATATTGAATTATTTTATTTTATTTTATTTTTTTACTTTTGACAAAAAGAAAAATATTATACCCAGCAGCATAAACTATTGTTGAGCGATCTTGACTAACAACTGAATTTGATATAGAAGTAAATCCAAGAACATGTTCAAGATTAATTTGATACTAAAAGAAAAAATAAATCTTATTATTTAACTAATATTATATATATTATACTCGAGATATATTTGATGATACATCAGATCGTTGAGTTTTACGTTTAAGTGCAGAATATGATGTCATATTAGAAGTATTCGTGGATCTACGACGATTTACATTCAATGGAGAAGAAGAATGATTATTTTGTGTTAATAAGGCAATATTGCCAGTTGTTATAGATGTTGAACGTTGATGACAGTCAATTGATCGTCCATTAGTTAGCCGAGATTCGTCTAAATTATTCAAACAATGAATTAATAATTAAAAAACCTAAAGATATTTATATTATAAAAATATGAAGGAAAGAAAATAGTTATTTACTGAATTGATACTATTAGAAGCAACAGTATATTTGAAACTTAGTCATGTTTGTTTTTAATGTTTTAAATAAAATCTAGACGATCACGCAGATAAAATATAACTGCACAAACACACACCTATATATATATATATATATATACTTAAATTTATGATTACCCTTGAATATACAATTTTCCGATTGTTCTCATTTTATTTCTTATCTTAATATTGATATTCTGAGAGAAGGGCCATGTGCCATCAATACTACTATTAACAATTCAAAATAATAAATTTAAAAAATAAACTAAATTAGAGAATTGTCATAACTATTGATTGTAAAATTATTATTAATATTTATACATATAATAAAGATCCACATAAACATAATTAAGTATGTTTTTTGAATGAAAATTGATTCGATAGGTAGGAATGATCTATTAAAATTTTTATCTGTTAGTTCAAGGAAGAAAAGAAATATATTTTAAAAAAAGAAGAAAAAGGATGTGTTAACAAGAAAAAAAATTATTGATTAGATAGGAGAAGTACCGTTTCTTGATGTTGAAGTTTTACTTAATCGTTTGACTGTGATTGATTTGTTGAATTTAAATGTTGAAGACCTTGTTGCCAATCGATAATGATACGATGATGATGATGATACTAACTGATGACAAATTTCATGTTTTTTGTGATGCATCGAATGACAACAGCGACAACCATACCATGTGTAAAGAATAAAGTAGGCAGAACGAGAGAAAAAGAAGAAATAGACACTAACTGACATACAAACACTATCGATATAGATACTACTACCAATAAGTAGTTCAAAGCAAGAGAAAAAAAAATATCAAGTGAGATAAACCAACGGTTTTGTATGCGGGTATCAACTAATAGATGCGAGGCTTTCTATGTTTGACTCAGAGAAAACTGAGTCTTTTTTGTTCTTTTTAAAACGAAGATTCAGAGTGTTTTTTTAGAGGATATTTGTATCCAATTATTGATTGATCGTATCAATAAACTCATAAATAATTAATAGAGACAATTGTTTTATGTGTATTTGTGTATGTTAAGAAATCGAAATTTTAACTAGCATTTATATCTATATAGTAGAGAATGAAAAATAATATTTATCTAGACAATATTTTAAAATCATTATCGTAATATGGTTAGAACAATGAACATAATCAACTGTCAAATAAGCTGTATTAATAGAAATAGACTGTGTGTTTTCATCTTCTCTTTTGTTTCACATTAATGCAGATTTTTCGAACAAGTAGCTAATAATAGATATCGAATAACACTCACCTAAAGAACGATGCATAAGTCCACTAGTATTATTAAAACAATATGAAGAAAAAGAAATTGGCGGTCGATTAGAGAAATAGCGAAGAGACGATGATCTATCGGCAGCTGTCGTCATATTTTTGAATTAAGACAAAATGTAAAGAAAAACCATAGCGTTTTCTTTTCCAGCTGGCACGTCGTACTGCCAATGTTGTTCTTTGTAAGTGAGCCTACTTCAATCGTTCGGTTGGTATGGTATGTTTACGTGAAGACATCATTATCATTATCAAGATTGTATACCTTTTTTTTTTCTTCTCTTTCGCTCTTTTTTTTTACGTCTCCGATCCTTTTTTTTTGTTCATCACCAACATTATTGCTGCGAGGCGATGATGTATGGTGAACATATATACATACGTATATATGTAAAAGTATGTTTCGCTTGCATGTCACTGAAGGGTTCATGTTATATATATATATATATATTCATCCGAAGAAATAATATTATTATATGAACAATCAAATAATGTCTTTTTTTTTCTATGTTTAATCATCAGATGCGCATAGAACAAGTGAAAGAAATAACGCAAGTAGAGAACGGACAGTATGGATTAACTTGAAGATTCAATACATTCATTATGTTAATATTTATTCAGTGTATCTCCACTTCATTTTGTATATTTACCAATAACTTATTTCATTTTATAAGAATTTTTACAATATATCACCAAGAAATATTGATCCTGTATATTATCTAAACAGATGTGACCAATATTGAGGAGATAAATATTATTTGATGATATGAAATGAATTTGTTTCTTTTTTGTTGTCGAAATTTTGAACCTTCTTTTACAAATGATACATATTGAAGAAATATTTGACAGTACTTTTTTTGTTTTAAAGAAACTTGTTGTAAATAGGAAAAATCTTCGGCTGGCAATCTTGTCAAGTCAAATTAAGACTTGACAAACGCGTTGAATTAATCAAAATAGAAGCGAAAAGGAAAAAAACAGAATAATGGATGACACAGAACAACGGAAAACTGGCTTGAAACAGTATGGATAAGATTGGTACGAATCGAAATCAATTTATGAATTCTCAAGGATAATTTAAATCAATTAGCTTAACATATTTATTGTAAACAGATTTTCAACATAGTTCAAATTCCGCACGACTATAAAAAATAAGTCAAATATATAATATAATCATGAATAAGCGACATCTAGAGACTAGTTCTAGTAATTTATTCAAACTGGTATAAAAGACACTTTCGATACAATTGAATATTATCGTATTTGCTGACAATAAAATGAAAGAGATAGATAGTCAATTACGTAACAGCATGATTCAAATTAAAGATCGAAACAGATAATACATACGTATCGTCATTATCAGTAAAGATAAAAATTATTGGTAAAACCAGGGGTGGCGCGAGTCAACCAACATTGGGGGAGTGTAGCGAAATTTTTTGGACTAGAAAGACGAAGTCTGCAATTTTTCGGGGGGTGTAACATTGTTTTTGGTGACAAATGGAAGAAAATTTCCTGATTTTGTTGAGCAAAAAAACAGAAATTTTTGAAGATTGGGGGGGTGTCGCACCCCCGACTACCCCCCGGTCGCGCCACCCCTGGGTAAAACTTACACATTTCTGGTAAATATTGATGTTGCAAGTATTTGATAGTGTTGATCTACGTTTAACCACAAACACACTTCTATTCAAAGGATAATATTATTGTTTACATACGGTCACCTTTAAAAGAAGGAGAGCTGAAACCTATTAGATCATTAATTAATATCATTTGTTTCTTGTTAAATAACATGAAAAGAACAATATTCATATCGAAAAGAAATTAACATTTTGTCGTTTGTTTTTAGTTACGGACATATTGTTGAAAACAGGGTAGGAAGAAAAATAGAAATGACAATACACTGTCTTTTTTATATGAACATAGTCATCTATTTGTACACTAGAAAGACAAAAAATTCGTTCTAATATTTTTCCATGATAAGAAAATATTGAAATTTATTGAGTATTTGATAAATTATAATGCTCAAGTTTTTTTATTTTTGTTATAAAATGAAGAGAAAATGACACTATTAAACAATTGACTTTTTTCTATCGATTGCTGATAATGTTAATGCTATCAAACTTTCTTGTTATATTAGAAAGTAAAAATATCACCTATAAAATAACGTTTTCTGACAAACTATTAGTTGTATTCTATTTTTAATGTTCATAATCATGATTCGGAATGAATATTGAAAACATGTTTTATTCAATTAGCTGTATTGTTCGTTCAACTATTCGACTCTATGATTGTGAATATTTTTCATGAATACCATTGTTTCTATTCACACTTAGTTTAGTTCTATTAGAAAAGAAAAGTATATTCAAGGTTCAGAGTTATATTCGACACTGACGAAAGAATATGCTCAACTGTCCAATCGATTTTCGTTTGAAACTATTGCCATTCGTTTGGTCATAATGTGTAGTAAAAAGTCTGTTTTAATCTGGTTTTTCGGTCTTCGCTTGTTCAGTTATGAGCATTTTACTCGATTCTTGTCTTCTGAATGTAGAATCAATGAGAATGTGAACGATCGAATTTCAAGCTGAAATTTTGTCCACAATTAGGCCTTATGGACATTAAAAATATTCTAAAATTTGAGCCATAACGAAAGTAACTTGGCTATGATATTTATATTTTAAAGAAACAACTGTTTTTGATCTGTATGTCAAATGAGGGATGTTTTTATGACATGCTGATATCTCGATATGGACTAGTTTGTTCTAGTCTAAACTTTGGAATATCTTTAGTGACGATGAGGTTTATCTATCTACCGACGATAAAATGCTTGAGAATCATAATTTTGAGATAAGACCTAGAGTTTATAGTTACAGCAAAATTGTGTAGACATATGTGAATAGTACCAGAGTAGATGCTTATAATATAAATAAAAATTTAATATAAAAATACAAAGTGTTAATGCATGGATTCGTTCTCTTTTATTACATTCTTGAATAACATCTATTAATAGATCATTTCATACTTTATCGGCCGCATTCTCTAGACAAGTATATAATATTGAATTATTCCAATGACCGAGTTAAACCCCTTCTTTTAATGCTAGTCATCTAGTATGGAACCTTATGAAACAAAAATTCGAATAAAGGATCCAAAAGTCGCAAAATGAATTAGGTAATGCGGTCGTTGAAGTATGAAATGAACTAAAGTACGTTTAAAAAGTCCGTGTGTGTGACTAGTTTTTGAATATCTCGAGAACGAAACGAGGTAGAGACCTGCGGTTTTCATCAAAACCGCAGGTCTCTACCTCGTTTCGTTCTCGAGATATTCAAAAAATAGCCGCATGCACGAACTTTTTAAACGAACTATATTAAGAAATATTATTCCATAATCTATTGAAAAATCTCAGATGGTGCGACAATACTTTGTAATTTCATATTAAATTTTTATTTTTATTGTAAGCATCCACTCTTGTACTATTCATATATATCTACATCAATTTGTTCTAATCATAAATCCTAGATTTTATATCATAATTACGATTTGCAAGTATTTTATCATTAGTAGCATGGACGAAATTTGAGCTCGAAATTCAATCATTCAAGTTCTCAATGATTCTGTGCTCGTAGAGTAAAAATCGAGTAAAACGCTCATAACTCAACAAGAGAAGATCGGAAAACCAAATTAAAATAGACTTTTTCCTAAATTATCATGATCGATCCATTGGCAACGATCTCAAACGAAAAGCAATACGACAGTTGAAAATATTCCCTCATGAGATCTAAAATGAGAGTACTTTTACAAAAAAGATTTTTTGTTTTTGTGTAATAAAGTATCATTTGTAATCTACATGGCTGATAAAACATTGTTGTAAAACTGTAATGTTTCTCAGAGCATAAAAAAGAAATTATTTTGAAATGATAGTAGTCATGAAAAACACATAAACAGTGCACCAATGAATAAATATTGACAGCTTGAATACGCAGCTGTGTGCTTTCATGTGTTGTTTTTCTTTTTTGTTCGCCTTTTTTATTCGTTTTCACATTTTGTATTATATTATAATAAAGAAAAAAAAAGATTAATAGTCACAGAAAATAATAAAAGACCTAGAAACGACTGGTACACAAATATTTTTATAGTTTTATATGTGTATTTCAAGATAGAAAGAATTACTTGTATTATATAGCTTGTAGTTTTTGTGCGGTTATCATAGCACTCGTTAAGTTTTATGAGAGAAAGAAGTCAATAATTCGACAACCAGTCTGAGAGAAAGTGGCTATAAAAAAGATGTCTACTCAAATATGGTAGGCAGTTTTCAGGTAACAACTCAAAACAATTTCATAGACACGACGACAAAAGTTTTGAAGACTAAGCTCTAGTTGATCGAAACATATGATGATTACTACATGTTTCTTTTTTGCTATTCTATTAGATCATTTATTCATTAAAATTTAATTTGAAAGAATTATTTATTCAAAAAAGAAATATTCACATTGTGAAAAAATGTATGCATTGAGTTCACAATCTCAATTAATCAATGATCTTCCACAAAGGTAAGTTAAAATAAATGTTCGTTAAATTCATCATTTCTGTATAGAAAATTTGTTCATATGTCGCAGTATGCACAACCTCGTTCGAACAATATTACATTAGTACTTTCGAATAATAATCGGACTGTAAGTAGAAAAACATGAATTCAAATAAATTATGCCTATATTTTAATAGCGTCGTCCTGTCGTTTTTATAATTTATTATTCGATGTATGGTCATGTAGCAACATTAGCATCAAGCATTCGAGCTGGTGTTGAATATGCTGGATGTGATTGTCGTGTCTTTCAAGTTGCTGAAACCTTGCCCGATGAAATGCTTAAAAAAATGCACGTACCGCCTAAAAATAAAGATATACCAATAATTAGACCTGATCAATTACCTGAAGCCGATGGTTTTCTGTTTGGTATGCCTACTCATTTCGGGACGATACCTACGCAAATTAAAACTTTATTTGATGCTTGTGATAGTCATTGGCTATCCGATGCATTAATCGGCAAACCAGTAAATCTTCTTAGATTTCTGTTTATCAAATTACTGCATTCATTTATAATTTATAGGCTGGTGTTTTCTTTTCAACAGCGACACTTGGTGATGGTCAAGAGACAACTGCTCTTTCATGTGTATCATTTTTCGTGCATCTCGGAATGGTTTTTGTTCCACTTGGCTATAGAAATAAATTGTTATTGAATCTCGATGAAATACATGGTGGTTCACCTTATGGTTTGTTTGGTTTTTTTTTTTGTATCTTTGTTTCTGTTAAATATTAATTTAGGTGCTGGAACATTAGCTGGAACACAAGGTGAACGACGAGTATCTCAACTTGAACTTAAAATTGCACAAACACAAGGAATTGAATTTGGTAAAATCGTTTCAAAATTAAAATCAACACCGACACATATATAATGTTCATTTTTATTCTTTCTCTCTTTTTTTTCGAACGGTATTCAAAACTCTCTTATTTCGTAAATACATTAGTTATTACTTATATATATCAATAACTTAGATTTAAAAAGCAATTGAAATTGAAAAATAACATAACATTTTTCTTTTTGAAATAAAATCTTAATGTATCAAACAGAAATTATATTTTAAAAATGTTCTTATCATTTTAATACAGTACAAAAAAAAAGAAAAAAAAACTACGTTTTAAATTCGATTATTTTGGTCATATTTTTTAATTGTATTGATTGTTGATGATGAAGGTGTTGTTCTCTTACTATTCATTAATGAATTCATCTTAGTTGTTCGTCGTCGATTAATACCAATTTCAAGTGGTGTAAATACTTTATTATCTTTACCTATTCTTAAATATCCTTTATGCCGTTGATATTCTTTTTCCCATTCACGTGCATCATAGCTACTTTTAACGTTAATAATTCGTTCATGATATTCAATATTATTTTGTGATAAATGTATTTTTTGATTACGATGAATTTGACTTTTTGGTTGATTTGGTGGTGGTGGATGTTTAGTTTTTGTTATCATAATATTAACTAATTTTTTTGATTTTGTTTCATTTTCTTTATCAATTTCTTGACGTTTTTCATTTAATTGCTTTAGAAAACTTTGATGAAGATGAGGAAAACGAAGTGGTGCACTGTTATCTATACCACTATGTCGTTGCATTTCGGATATTCTGTCTAAATGAGCACGTTGTTTACGTACTTCACTTTTTAATTGAATGACTGAAAAACGACTAAGCGTTGAATATTCTGGCATTATTAATTAATGAAAAGAAAAAATAAATTTTCTAAAATTAATAAAGATCAATATAGATTTCTTAGATTTCAAAGACTCGTTCTACTTGTATAAATCTTACGTGTTATAAATGAATATTCTTTTTTTAATTTTACTTCTTCCTTCAATTCAGATCGATCATATACATTTAAGTGAAATCGTAGACATTATAATCTTGACTGAAAAATGCAAAACGTAAAATAAATACGTCAATACATAGAGACAAGAAAGTGTTTTTTTACATCTCGTTACTCTCTCTCTCTCTCACTGTGTTGAATCGTTGGCTTAAGTAAATAAAAAATAGAAAGAATTATATTCTTTTTTTTTTCTTTGATTGCTTCAGACATGATGAAAATTTTTTTAAAAAGTTGATCCATGGCAAAAGCATAAAGAAAATATTGACAGTTTTAGTGCTTCAGATGAATAGTGAGAATTATATAGGAAATTGTTTATTGGTTATCTCTAGTGTATTTGTATGTTAACTAACAAGTCGTAAATTGAAATAATAAGAAATATTATTTGTATATTATAATGAAAGAAAAGTATGGATATATATGCTAGTAGAAATAATAGATTTAGGCTTGACTTGACAATCAACAATAAGTAAATAACTATAAAACTATTTGTTTTTTTACTTTTTAAAAGAAACCAAATCAATTTCCTTTTATTCTTGTAAACATTTCATAATAGTCATCAATGACTTAAAAGTTAACATATTAATAACTACGTAATATGAAAGAACATGGAAATTTTCTTGTATCTATAGAGATAGAATAAATAAAATTACTTTTATTAAAATTATCTTTTCTGACTGTACTATTCACTTCTAGTATTGATTACATTTTATTATATTAGATTGACTTGTATGCAATAATAATATTCTTGAAAGCATTCATTTTATATGGACATTAAATATGTTCAATAGACGATCTCATCTTGTTCTATCTAAGTGTTTGAGACATTTCCATTGATGATTATTACAGTCATTAGATGCGCAAGTGCCAAATAAAAAGCTGATGACATTGGTGTCATATGATTATGTATTACGAATATATCATTGGCAATTAAATAAATGTATTTTTTTTTCGGTCATCAATTATAACAGCAGTTTTCAACGATAAATATTTGATTTTTAAAAATTTTTATTAACAAAAAATAATGAATATCAGAAAAAAAAATAATATGTAGTCTTTTTTTCTCTTTCAAATTCAATAAGAATTAAATCGATTTTTTTTTGTTAATGCTTTATTTTGCCTCGTATATATTTGTTTAAATCAATTTCAGTTTCTAATAAAAAAAACATGTAAAGCACATTCATTTTGAGCTAGTGGATGAACTGCAATTTTATTAATAAATATTTCTAATCCTCGTCGTCGTTCTTCGATGAAATCATCTTGAAAAAGACCATTATCTTTTCGAAATGGTAATTGTCTTTGCCAAGCTTTATTAGGTAATGGTGGTACAACTATTTTTGTATCAGCATGTTCTAATTCTTTATGTAACCATTCAAAATCAGAATAACGTTGATGAACAACTGATTCTGTTTGATTAAATATTGGTAATGTTGTTTTCATTTTTAATTGTATAATCAACATATCGTTTTGAACCAACACCACGTATTTCAGGTGAAATAACTTCAATTTGAAGCACAAGTTCAGATGAAGCATATGCATTGAACATGTTGTCTTATTTATTGTGTGTTAGTTGTCTACGTGAGTGTTGTCAATGAAATAAGTAAACGAAATAAGATAAGATATCAATTCTCTTTTATAGATATATTATTCCCTCTCAGTGCAGATGTAATTACATGAGTATGGGTTAAATAAATTTTTTTTTTGTCTTTTTTTTTAATACTATCATAATTTATAGAATAAAAAGCAAAAGTTGAAAAATTAATAAATAAAACACTGTTCGAAATGATAATAATGATGAAATAGAAGTTTTTGATGATAATGAACGAAGAAACAGTTGTTGATTTGTATCTCGTAAATATAATTTAGCTTCTTTACTTTGTGCACCATGACCATCTGAACAACGATATGAACCGCTATCATTTAAATGAGAAACAGCTATTTCTAGAGTAGTTACTGTTACATTAGGTAATTCAATTGATGTTGTCACACGGGTTGCATCAGGTGCCAATGGTGTATTATCTATTAGAAAATAAATAAAATGGAAAAAAAAACAACAAATTTTTTTTAATTTTAATTTTTTATCAAGTTATACCTTTAAGCCAAGTTACTTTTTCACGTCGTACTCGTTGTTCTCCAGTAAAATTACATGAAAATTTTGTTTTATCACCAATAGAAACAAGAACATCAATTGGTTGAATATCAACAATAATGTCTATAATATAGATATACTCGTTTGTTTTCTATTCACATATAATGTTTAGTTACTTCTATTCAATTATTCAGATTACCTACTTCTTCTATATCTGTTTATTCTCCAATTTTTACTCGACCATGATTATCTTTTTCTATATATCTGATATATCTGTTCGTATTGTTTTTTTACTCATATAAACATCGAATACATATGCGATGTATAGATCTGACTCTTTATATTTCCTTACCTTCTACAACAAGTTTCACATTCGATCGAATCGATTTATGATGATCTTTTGCAACAGCATGACATTGATAATGAGCTGCATCTGATAAACGTACATTAGTTATATGTAAATCCCATTTAGCAGGTGAATATCCATGATCAACACTATAATAAGCTACACTAAAACGAGAATCTTTTGTTATTAAATGTTTGCCAACATTTAGTGTTGATTGACCAGGATTTGTCAATTTATACCACATAACCTAAGACAATAATAATACACAAAAAAAAGTTGCAATATTCTTTTTTGTTTCTCACTCGTTCAAGTTCTACATGAGGTAAAACAGCTTTACATGGTAATATAACTGATTGCATTGGTACACTAGTTATGATATGTTCCTGTTCAGATGATATGGATAATTGTTGCTCGATAGCAAAAGCACGATGAGCACCTATATAAAAAAAATAAATGAGAAAATACTAATAAAAAAATCAGTCTGTGATTAATTAATATGTAAAACGGACATGGAATTATCTCTTCTCTTTTCTTCAGTTATTTTACGTGAGCTTTATAGAGAACACAAAAAGTCAAAAGAAAAATGATGATCCAATTCTACTGGTTTTTTTTTCTTGACAGATCAAAGACTATGATTATATACATATTCTATATAGTTCCTTTGAAATCGAACACGCAACATGCCCCAAGCTATATACAGTTGTTCCATGCCACTTGAAACTGCCTCTCGAACTGTTATTCTTCTATATAGATGTTGACGAATCACTTGAACAATATGTCGCTGAAATTCGACCGACAATGTTGAGATAGAACATGATGGTGCTCTTAATGATGAATATGTTAAAATAAAACGGAAGACAGAAAGACAAGTTTGACTGATTGTGTTGTTTGACATCGACAATGCTTATCTGTTTTATCGTCTTTTATCTACAGTCGAACTGTACTTAAATAAATGTTTAGAACCGGACAAGACCAAAAAGAAAAATAAAACTATAATAAGATGACATTCATTGTGTATACATGACACGCTACTCTTTAGTCATTCACAGTCAAGAATTGTCCCTTATTTGCATATGATGCTCAACATACGATCACCATTTGACGTCATATGTATATACGTGTTGCATAGATAGGCTCTTTTTTTTTTGATAAAATTAGTTATCAAATGATATATGTCACTTATTACTTACGTATAGTACAGATAAAAAAGATCAAGGCGACAATGGTAACCATCGATAGTTCATGCTTAACGATTGTGTTTTTTTTACTAATGTAACTATATAATAGGTTATTGTTATTGGTGTTTGATTTGTTTGCTATGAAAATTTATATGTTGGTAGTCTTCTAATAATTATTTGCGTGTGTGTGTGTGTAATTCATCTACTACCGAGGGAGCATTTTCATGCCAATTATAGTAGACAAACGAACGAGCAAAAGAGAACGATGGAACTGAACAGTTCTTCCTTTGCCATTCTCTTTTTTCTCTTTTTTTTCTTTCTCTCCTTCTCTTTCTTTTGTCTCTTCAAAAGAAAAAAATAAAATTAAAAGAAGAAAAAAAAATGAATAATAGAAATGATGACACGAATATGAATTCATAAACAGATATAAATTGAAACATAGGAATATAAAGAGATAGATAGATAGACATGTATATTCAACGGATCAATTGCCTAATAAAGCAGAAAATCACAAGAATACAATGGGATTTTTTTTTTCTTTTTTCGGCTATATACAATTATTCTAATTATTAAATGTCCTTGACTAACGCACGCTCAATCGTTTTAGATGTAAAATCTCGGAGAATACGCTGTGAAATACGTGCTTGTCAATCATCGTTGTTAGTGTTCACCCCTGGAGGAAAAGATCACTATCATATGAATATAAGATATCATCAAGAATATTGCTTTGAGAAAGAAGAAACAAAAAAGAGAATAGAATGATTCTCAATCAGTTTGTTTGTCTATCTATTCAATATTGAAATGAAACACACCACGGGTAAAATAGACTTGCAAATTATGATTGACTTAATCAAGGTTATATCCATAATATCTTGTTCTATTTCTTATTCTTCTATTCAATCAATATAAAATGTTCTTTCGGGGAGTTCTTCAGTTTCTCGCTTGGTTGCTACTATTGGTCTCCTATTCATCCCTTGAGTATGCCCCTCTGATCACTGGGCGACACGAATGATTGGATCATTGGTTTTCTTCTTTGTCGTATTATAATCTTCATCATTCATTTTCTAGTTACATTTTTCAAAGTTACTATGATTAAGATCTAGCTTCGTGCTTTATCCATTTCTTTTTTGTTGTGTTTCCTGGGCCTTGGCAATTTATTCTTAAAGTGAACAAATGATAAAGATGTGTGTAATAGAATTTTCGAAATCAACCAGATTGACTGTCAAGCGGAAGATGAGACATAGTGCATCGCTCAAAATTTCAATTAGCTTATTAACAATCGAACGTCTGAACAGCTTGTCGAAAACAACAACAAGGAAGTACGATCGAAAGAATTTAAGAGCTGTGCTTTTTTTTGTTGTCCTTGACTGTAAGCAACAAATTTCATAAGACAAATAAAATATTATTTTATTCAGATTTCTATTCCACGTTTTTATTATAAGTACGATTATAAAGAAAAAGAAAATCAATGTCTTCCAGTTTGATTGACATCGTGTTCGATGACCCAAGAAGAAACATAATGATGAAAAAAAAAAAGTTGATGTGTGATTATAATAAAATAGACCAAAGGAAATAAGAAAGAACAATATGACAAAAAGCCGAGTAAAGAAAGAAAAAAAAACTAAAATTGGCATTTTCTCTTTTCTTACTTTATTGAAAAGCCTACAGGGAATTCGATTGAATCTTACAATCACTTATATTCTACAACGTGAATTATTCTTTTTTTTTTGTTGTTATATAAATTTATCTGATTTTTTTAAAATTTATTCTTGAATTACTAATGTAATAAAATAATTGTATATATATATATATATACCGGGTGGCCTAAAAGTAAGGAAAAATAATGGGTATCTAATAATAACCGATGAAAAACTGTTAATGATATTTTTCATACTTTTTATTGATGTAAACAGCTGAAATTTTTATTACATATATATCTAATTAACACCTTTTATTTCTGAAAGTTTTAGCTCTCTACGTCAATAAAAAGTATGAAAAATATCATTAACAGTTGTTCATCAGTTATTATTAGATACCCATTATTTTTCCTTACTTTTGGGCCATCCTGTATATATATTCAGATAACATTGAAAATAGACATTCATGATTTATTTAGTAAGTGCAAGATCAATTGTTAGGAAAATATGCTGTTTTTTTACTTTTACTCACTCTTATACTATTGTCTTTCTATGAAAATTTTGTTTTGTTTTTTTTTTGGTCGAAATAAGATCGAATTGGACACGATAACATCTACTATATTTTACTACTATGATTTATTTTGATAGTCAAGTGGATAAAAATCTCATGTAGATTTTTAAGTGTAATCAAAACAATAGATCGTTCAACAAAAAAAAACACAAAACCTTAGCTTTTGTAAAGAATTAACTTTTTATATGTGTGTGTTGATCTAATAAAATGAAGAAAATATTTTTCAAATAATATTATAAAAACATTTATTCTTATTCATCATTTCATCAAAACAAAAGGAAAAAAGAGACTTCTAATGCAAATGGATAATATTGCAAAAATTGTTAATATTGTTTTTGCTTCTTTCCTTTTCTTCTATATCATCGAGTAACAGGCATACACAACATGCATGTAAATATATACATATATATATATATATATAATTGACAAAACACACTCGAGTTACTACATCGAATTACACAGCTATAATAAATCTAGGAGATGCGTTTTTGGCCACCATTTCATACATATTCACTAGATATTATATCGAGTTTTCCAAATAAATTGGTTTTTCGTGCGCCAAAATATGTTCGTCTTCGAATGACTGTTGATCATCTTGAATTGAATGAAAATCCTGGTTCATGTTTAACTCATTACAATCATGATACTTCTTTATGGGAATGTTATCATTCACCATGTACAGCTGGTCATCATCGACTTTTTATTTGGCTTTTAGATAGTGAACGTGATGATCCATGGGCTACTGCTGTTAGATTTGATGTTTATGTTGAACAAATTATAGAATCATTATATTATCCTATTACAACGAATATATTTAATGCACTTCGATGTCAATTAATTACACCAATCAATGGTATTCTCTCAAGAGAATCTCTACCACCAGATATTATCATACGTGTGCCTTGTGTTCGTGATGTACAATTGCAAATAGATGAAAAAACATTAGTCATCGGAGATAGTCTTCCAAATGATATTTATAGACTTAAAATTCCACCTTCTATACCCGATCATGTGAGAAATTTTGTACTAATGGGTTTATGTTTTGATAATATGTATTATTCGATATTAATTACATATAAAATCGAATAGAAAAAATAATCAGTACTAAATCTTATTTTATTCTAATATGAATTTTCTTTTTCTAAATAAATCATTTTCATTGGATTGCATTCCAAATTTCATCAAGATTAATGTCTTGAAAATTTTTCACCGTTCTCCATGTACCATATTGTTCTAATGTTTCTTTTTTTGCTGATGTCAGTATACCAATACATTTAATTTCAGCAGCGACAGCAGCTCGAACACCTGATATTGAATCTTCAAAAATAACACAAGAATTTTTATCAACATTTAAACGTCGTGCTAATTCCAAATAAATATCCGGATTTGGTTTACCTTTATTGTTAAAATATATAAAATGACTTGGATATTTCAAAAATAAAAACAAAAACTTACCAATACCAAACTCTTCAGCAAGCAGCACAGCGTCAAAGAATGATTTTTCATCAAGTTTTAATAGTCCTAATTCAAATTCAACGATTAAACGTGGTGCGTTCGTTGCTAAACCTTAAAATAGAAATTCATATAAATTTCAATTAATTCCTTTTTTTTCCTCTACCAATTTTTAATTTTGAGCGATTTTCTTTTATATATTCAAGTATTTTATCAAGACCTTTTGTTGGTTGAAGTTTTTCTTTAGCTAATTCACGAAATAATAATTCTTTTTTATCTGCTAATTTTTCTTGTTCATCTTCAGATAAATATGATAAGAATTCACGAGTTATATCAGCATTTAATCGACCTAGGATTAGACATATATATATATATATATACGTATGCATCATAAGAAATTAATAAATGAAATATTCAAATTCTACCCGAAATATTCTTGTCAAAAAATTCTCGGTCGATCAAAGGTTGATTAGGTTTTATTTCTGCAAGAATTTTTTGCCATGCTTCAAAATGTATCGGATCAGAATCAACTAATGTACCATCGAGATCAAATAGAATTCCATACATTTTTATTTCTGTTCTAAAAAGATTTGGTTAACACCTTCTATTCGTATTAATCATGTTGACTGTTCACGTTAAGTATACAAAAAATAAAACCACAATGAAAAAAAATAAAATAAAATATACTGGAATAAAATGAGGTGCTAGTCTAAATACAAGATTTTCTTTTTTTTTGTCATAGTTCATCAGCTCTTTGTTTCAAAACGCATTGCTTCTCGAGCAGCTTTCATGAGTAATAAATTAATATCTGGCGTTGGCAAAACATTTTCATGTGCTAATGCCATACGACGAGGAAAAAATATATAATCAAGCTAGATATTAATCAAAGACAAAACACAAATATTAAACTCATAATTTAAAGAAAACCTAAACTCATTATATTACCGAATAATTAAGAAAATTACAAACATTTGATGTATAAACGTCAGCAAAACGAGCTAAACGTCGATGAAAATATGTTGGAACTGTATGTGTACGAAATATAGAACCAAACGAAGGATTAAAATAATCACGAGATTTTGTTCTAGAAATAAGGATAAAAGAATTAGGACAAGTAGAAAATTTCATATATGCTACCTTTCTTGTTCTCGTTCAGCAACCCAACTTTTCATAAGTACATCAGCTTCAGGACCAGGAATATCCTTTAAATAAAAGAAAAAAAGAATATTTAAATCTAATTCAATAGTCTATGAAATATAGAATTATTTAAAAGAAACCAGATATTTGTTCAGTAAGTTAAATAATTATAAAACCAATAAACTGAATAAATGAATACTATATTATTTGAATAGTCAATTAGTGATCAATGAGTAAGTATAGAAATTGAAGTGCATTATAGTGTCATTTACTTATTTTGCTCCTGTTATTTGCTTCCTTGTAGTACAGATGCTATGTATGACATACATGTAGGTACTTTGCTACTATTCTTTCCTCTAACTTTAACTTAGGATACACGAATAAAAATGATGGACATTGTACAGGCTGTTCAATATGAAAATGATGTATTAGATGAAGAGTGCCAAAAAAAAAATGTAATCAAAATATTGGACTACTGAGGTTACTTTTGATAGAGTTAATGAAGCAGAAGCATCAATTGAAAATGAAGGCTCAAAACATTATACAAATTCTACGAGAAATGGGAGAACAGTTTATTACAGATGTAACGAAGACGAGCATCGCAAACCTTAATGCAGAGCGAGTATTGATCTGTTATATCGTGTGGACAATGAAAAAAGCTTACTGTTTATAAAGCTGAACTTTAGGATAATATAAAAAGTATGATCATTAAATTTTCGAAATTCAGTGAAAAAGTTCTTTTCAGAATGTTGTGATGAAGAATAATAAAATAAGAAACGTTTATGCCATTATCTTGGACGTTCTACGAGCTAAAGGGTACTCGAAAAGTTTGGATCTCTCGTTGTAAATCAATGATATCTATGACAAAGCTATATATGGTTAATTGATCAAAATACGCAATTTTGTAGAGAAAGATTAGACCTATCATCTAAAAAAAAGATACTTCGAAATGCATGAATCTAGTACAATGTTATGGTCATTTTACTAACCTTGATTGAGTATTTTCATCGTTCGTTTTTTTTTGAGAAAATTTTCAAAAAATTTCTTTATAATTGTTGTGTGTTTTTTGCTTACAAGGATTTTTTTTTAATCAGATTCATCATTTTAATGGAATAATATTAATGATATTTGCTGATTATGATTTCAGTTTTATAACACTTCATATTGTTAAAAGCTTTCATATTGACAATCTTATTTTATGATGTTTACTGATTCCAATTTATTCTCTAATATGTCAGTTGGTTGGATTTATCTTTCTGATAGTTTTATTAAAAAACTTCTGATATTCATTTAGAAGCTAAATAGATAATATATGGCCAATAGAAAACTTGTGTAGTATTATTCGATAAGACTTAAATACAAAGATATCAAACAAAAAATTATTGATATATGAAAAAATTTTCGTTCAGAAAAATAGATAAGATGATTCAAATAAACAGTCTACATTCATCTTTTCTTTCAATTTTTTCATCTTGTATGTTTTTCAGTAAATCCAACGAAATTATTTTCTTTATTAAAAGCAGTATGAATAAATTTCGATAACTTTATGCTGACATTTCTTATAGTATTTTTAAATGAGACAGTAGTATTCTATTAGAGATACTTCAAAATTACGTACTTGTAGTTGATCGATTAGCCATTCAAGAATATTTAGCTATTGAAATGAAAAAAACCTGTGTATAATTTTTGTTTTAAAACTATATTACCCATCGAATAGTTTTTTGATATGGTTCCGAATTAATTACACTGATTTCATCCTTCAAATTAATAATAAAAAGTTCTGTTTTTATTGTTTATAAATTACGCCTACTTACTTCAACTTCTTCTAAAATAGCACCTGTTCTCCATCCATGTGTAAGAAATAAATCCTTAGAAAAGAACCTTTAATAAATTTTATTCTTTATTATCATATACTTACTGCTAAATCACCGTAAATATGATCACCAATATAAAGAACATCATGCCCTTCCCAACGTGTCATTTCAACAAGAGCCGTGAGATTACCCTTTAGTAAAACAGTTAAAACAGGTTATTTTTTTTCTTCTTCTTAAAAAATTTAACATACTTCAGTATAAACGTTTCCTTTCTGTAATTTAGAAACTCGATCCCAAGATTTTGAATTATTATTAACGTTAACTTCTCTAAATGGTCTAAAAAATACAATATTTCATTTTAAAAAACTATAATAATTGTAAAGAAAAATCTATTCGACAAACCTTCTTTGTGCACCAAAAAATGATGGTTTTCTAGCTTGACATATAATAATATCAAAAAACTCTTCCCAATTCTTTCCAAGTAAATATGTCATACCACGGTCAACATACCAAAAAGCACTATTTGTTATTAAAAATAATTGTTTATTAGCATCACGAAGTCGTTGTAAAAATGGTTTTAAACGAACATTTTCTTCAAAATAAGTTGCTAGAAAAGTAATAATTAATTTTCTTTTCAATAATAATATTATATATCTTACCAACATCTTGCCCAACTATTTTATGCATCGTTCCAGTTCTGTGGAAAAAGCTAACTGCTTCCTTAATTTTATTAAAATAAACAATTTTTATTCGACTTATTTATAAAACATACGTACTCGAACATCATGATGTATGTATTCAGATGCAAATGGAATACCGTTATCAATAAAATACTAAAATAAATAATTGATTTAATATATATATATACAGTGATCACAAAAAGTCTCGCTACTGAATAAAGAGTACCTTAATTTTAATCCTTCAGTCTCATAGTTTGACTACAAATACAGCATGCTGGACTCTGGCCGCAAGCACTAATCAGAACTTGATTGACCTTCATACGGAAGAGCTAGAAGATCAACACGGATTTTTTCTTCAAATGAGGATCTCGCAAGATAAAAAACAAATCTCACAACGTTAGACTCCTCATTCGACAGCTTAGTGCTACCTCTATCACCAATAGAAACTCCATGTCAAACAATATTAGTTTGTCTGATTTATGAAGTAATCTTTAGGTAATCTTTAAATGAGAGTTGATGGAAATTGTCAGAAAGTGACCTATATCTCTGGTTAATTTTAACTACTTCCCTTGTAATTTTCTCCAATAAATGCCATGCTCTAATCAATTTTTCTATGAAAATTTCACGATCACGATCATCAATAGAGAAGAGATCTATGCTGAGACTGTCCCAGACTATGGAGGCTTTCTTGAGGCTCAAGGTTACAGTGGATTGGAATGCTCTATCTCTGACACAATATAGACATTCAAGCCTTTATTTGTGATTAAGAAAATAGAGATTAACGCAGTTCAACGATGGAAAACTAGAAAAGCGTCACAAAAAAGGCTTGTTTGAGCTCTAGAAAAAAAAACCAGTGTTTTCATTGTAAACTCTTTATATTAAGACCTATCAAGTTTGAATTGCTGCTTACAATCAGAGTTTATCGAGCTCTGTTTATAGACAAAATATCAAACAAAAGCATTGCAGTTTATGTGCTTTTTACGCAGTAGCGCGATTTCTTGCGATTACTATATAAATAAGACATCCCAAAAGTTCGTCAGGAAAGTTAACCTAAACAGCTCTTATTCAGTTCAACCGATTCAATTGACTCTTTTTATAATATTTAAGTATATTCTTTAGTGTTTTTGTTGTGTATAATTTCAGATAAATATTATGTCTATAAAAATTAGAATAAGATTGGTTTTATAAATGATCAAATTTGAGTCACATATGGTTGTGAAACGTAAATTATAAGTCGAGTTCAGCAAAAATTACAGAAGAAAAAGTCGACGAAATTCATGATGTTTGTGAAAAATGAACCATACTAAAGTGTTCGAGCTATCACAAAGGCTCGTTTCATTGCACGAACAAATTGCACATTGTATAGTTTCAATGAGAAATATTCAGTCATAATTCGATGCACTGTTGTGGACGTGGAATGGAGCATTTTTTTTTACAAACATCATAGATTTCATTGGCTTTTTCTTCTGTAATTTTTAACGATCTTGCAAAATGTTCTCGACCTTTCACTGTATCAGTTGTGCAAATATATCGAAACGTAACTTTAATATAATCTTCATTTGGTGTATGTTTTACTGTGTGCGGCTCGCAGTTTTCATTTCATAACCATACATTCGTCAAATTTGATCATTTATAAAACCATTCCTATTCTAATGTTTATAGGCACAGACATTTATCAGAAAACAGTTTGAATTGTATACGAGATATTTAGGTTAACTTTTCCGACTGGTTTTTCGGACACTGTATATTTAATTTAAACATATTTTATTATTTCATACCTGAGCCACATCACGTAAAATTGTTATTTCAGATATTGAAAAAATATCAACAAATTGATACATATTTGATGTCATTCCAAGATAACCAACTTCATCAACAGACAATTTTGTACCATTATGTGCAGCAATAACTTCTTCATCTGGTATTTTTCGCATACCACTTAAAATAAACAAAAAAGAAAGAGTTTTATTAAAATGATTGAATTATCTTTACTGATAAACAGTGCCTAATTGAATATTATGATAACTATCAACTTTCATTAACCATCCACTTTTTATATCTAAATGAAGACCACGTGCACCCAATCCAGGTCGAAAAGAAAAATTCATTAGTTGATCTGGATACTTGATTCGAGAAGAAAAAAATGAAGACATTTATCTAATATTTAAAATAAAGAATTTTACTCGTAAATTTTTGACGAGATATTCTTTAGTATGATCATAAATTAATGAATGTAATGTTGATTTATATCTTGCTAATGTATAATCTATTCAGAAAAATAATCATTTTTGCTTAATTTCGAATAAGTCAATATGAGATTACAAACCAAAATCAAAACCATAAACTTTGATTGTGTCTAAATCTAATTCATTATTAGCAAATATTCCAGTTGGCTTCATTGTTTGTGAATAAGGCGTTGTTGCAGCTAAAATATTAAATAATTAAAAATCAAAAATTGTCATTCAAAAACTTAAGTTTTACATAGAGATTCTTGTTTAAGTAACTCATATATTTGCTGTAAATCATTTAATTGACGTGTTGGAGTAAATGAACGCCGTGATTGATAGAATAAAACTCGGATTAACTGAAAATATTGTTTATGGCAGCACAGCATTATATTGATTACAAGCTTGGATCCGAAGATTTATTAATAAGACTCTTTAATTAGCCGACTCTGAGTCGTTTTCTTTTAACTTATTTACTTTTAACTTATTTACTATTAACAATATGGTATAAATGATTTGGTGAAAGCAACCAATTTGAATGTAGGTCGACAGAGGTCTATAGAAGTCGAACTTCATGTCTGTAACTATTTCCATTTACATTGAGAATACTTATCTATAGTGAAATGTACTGATAAGGGAAGGAGACTCGACTATCCTGCCATGTTTACTGCCATAATTGTTCAATAAGCTAAATTGTATCATTATAACACATAAATAATATTATAGTTCATCTTTTCATGCAAACATATCTAAGATTTAAATCATAAATAATTATTAAATCCTATTTATTGAACACTGTGGAGTCAAGTTATTTGTTTAGCCAAACATTTTCCCATAGTTGTCTCTCTTGAAAAAGAATAACATTACTAATTGATGTTTGCCATATCATTGGTTTAGCCGTTAATAATCTTTTTCCAGAAAAAAAAATTTTTAGAATATTAAAAAGTTAAAAGAAAAGGGTTTGATTTCGATACCTTATAATTTTCGTGTGAACATGGTAAAACATGTTAAATTTCTTTTTTAAAATTAGTAAAATAAAATAAAATAAAATGTGAAATGTAAATATCGTTTATAAATCTGGATTCTATCGAGTCAACGTTTTTTTGTTGATGATAATATTAATAAGTCTTTGAAAAGAAAAACAATATCTAGATATGGTGTACCAATCAATATGCATTATAGTATAGAGTATCCAAAAATTATAGGCCTTCCTCCCCCTCCCATACATTCAAACAATAATATTTATTTCATAAGGAAAAATCTATATTATTAAACTATTGATAACCTATTTATGTGAGCACGATTGTCTACTAACTATTGCTATTGTCGATTGTCTTTGTCTGTTCCTCTATAGATAGTAATAACGTAAAAATGAAAAATTGAGTCTTGTACATAATATAACGCCAGATGATTGAGTTGTATATCTGTAAATCCTCAACTTTTCCACATATGCATATGACCATAATAAAATGATTCTGTTGATCTAATAGTTAATCCACGTGTTTCGAAGATGGAGCAATTATGTTTAAGTTTTACTCGTACTTCGATTAGTTGATATTGCTTTATTTGTTGCTTATATGCATAAATAAATGAAGTACCGCTAAGTTCATAAACATATGTGGTATCTAATATCACAACATTGTCATATTTGATGGCTATTATATCAGATCTAGTATAAGATGATGATTGCTCAAGAGCAGGATATGTTTCTTCTTCATATGTAACATATCTTTTGTCTCATAAAGTTTGAGCTACATTGATTCTTAATTTATGTAGACGAGTATAACGTGTTTTTCTCGAGTAGCATTGCAAAATTGTGATATGTGTATTATAGTTTCATTACCACGACCACATAAGCGATATATTTTCGGTATATTCATAACTCTTGTGTTTGTAACCTTTGTTTCCAGTGAGTTTGTACGGAGTTTAATACCATGAACATATGTTCTAGTATTCATTCCTTTATATGTACCACGTATCTACTGGTTTGTTCGTAGATACGTTGAAAAGATTTCTAAACCTACTCCACGTATTGTGTTTTGAAATGTTACACGTCTTTGCTTCATTATTTCATTTTTTTTTCAGTTAATAATATCATTAAATGGTTGTAGTCCATCTATTTACATTGCTTGTAAGTATCTTTCCTGCGTAGATAATGCTTGTAATTCAATTAATAGTTCTAGAGCATGTTCGGTAGATAATTTAACACTTTTATAGATTTTAATTTTAGCAATGCCAATTGTATCATGTAAATTAGACAATTGTAAGCCACTATCCTTTATTGATAAGTAGAAATAATTCATTACTTAATGATGTTGGAAGATGAAGTATTCTTCTTACTGTTTGGCTAATATATCTATCGAATTGATGTAACATTTTCGGATAAAGTTCCGTATGAGTAAGTAAATATATAAACCTTGGAATTATGTATGGCCTTATAAGAACTATTTTATATTGAAGTTTAATTTTAATTTTTTCTATATCATTAAGACCCTCTTTAACATATGACCATATTTGGTTAACCTCCACAGCACTAAGTAATGAAAAAGAAACACTAAGATATCCGGTAGTTTTGTCGATGTAATTAAGCAATGGTATAGAAATACCATCAAGTTGAAAGATGGGCTCAGTTTCAATTTTGCGTTCCTTGCCTTTGTATATTTTGGTTAATTCTATTGTGATACATTTTTTTGGATTAACATTAAGGCCTCGTGCCTTGAGAAACCTTTAGTTTTGTTAAGTAATTGTCTTAATCTGATTTTAGTATCCGATACTAGTACTAGGTCACTGGCAAAACATTTTGCGTTTGTTTTGATACCATTTTCGATCTCATAACTATATTTATCATTTATCAAGTCAAATAATTCATTGACAACTAAATTGAATGGTAAGCTTAATAATGAATCACCTTGCTTAACACTGCGCATTAATTTGATTCTTTTCGGGCTTTTATCTTTATATGAAATAGATGTGTAAATGTCAGAATATTGATCCTTTACTATATCAATTAGCATTCTTGGAGCATTATTCCTTTTAAAAGCTCGTTTAATAGAATCATGAGGTACCAAATCGAAAGCGTTGGATGCATGCAATATACATATGTACAAGTTATTTCTGTTTCTTCGTGCATGTTTAAGTAAATTATGTAACCATGCAATATGATATGCACATTCATTGACTGATTTAAAGCCCATTTGTTTTTAACTTATATGAAAAACTTTGTTTAATCTTGCGCTCAATACTTTATTATATGATCTGATGATGATGGCTGCAATTGTGATCGGTCTCCAGTTATGTATTTCATGAAGATCCTGATTTTGTTTAGGGATAAGTACAGTTTGATTCGTTTTAAAGATTTAGAGATACTCTTCTTGAAGTGAACCAAATGTTGAACGCTACAGTTAGTTCTATTTTATATATATCTTTTTATGTTCAATCATTGTAATATGATCAGGACCACTAGATTTTTGTTACATTAGTATTTTTAATAGCTTATTCAATTTCTTGCCAAGTAATAGGAGAAACAAACAGTCGAGCATCAATATCATTCTTTGGTTGAATAGGTTCATTGTCTTCTATTTCAACTGACCATACATTTTCATAATGACTTGTTGATATCTGAACAGGTGGTGGTTGAGTATCAACAGCAATTCCACCTAATAGTACTGAGATTAATTTTGCTTTATTATTTTCCTACATTTCTGGTGCTGTTTAAATATTTCGGCTTTTTCTTTTCTTTTCTTTTCTTTATTCTTTATTTGATCATAAATAATAGGTTCATTTTTTCGATGTTTAAAAGTTTTCTTTTTGGTTTCTTCTATATCCTTATTTTCATTAATAGTATGTTGAATCGCTTCGTAAGCTAATTGTACTGAATCATCTGATGTATCTTTTGTTTACAAACACATTTATCGCTTGTTGCGTTTTATCAGATAATTGGATGTTTTTATTTATAAAAGTGTTTCAAATATAATCAAGTACATCTCGTTCATAAGATATATCACTAGATGTACGTACTATTTTCAATAATGTTATTATTTTATGTGCGTATTACTTCATCATATTCAGATAAATCCGATTGTTCTGCATTCATTTAATATTATTATTATTATTATTATTATTACTGTTAATTTGTTGTTGATTTATCATTTCAGCAAGTATATTTTTATATTCTTGTGTTTGCATTCGTCCAATTATAATTCCTTTAGTTCTTGTATTTGCACCTGAATTTTTGACTAATTTTTTCCATTCAGCAGCAAGTCTATTGAGAATTTGGTCTTTACAAGTGTTTTTGAGTTTCATTTTTGAAGCAGTTAAAGTACGATCTTCATCATTCATCGAAGCTAGGCATTTTTGTGCAACAGTTTTAGATTGTTCATATGCATCTAGGTGTTTAAATCGCATACAATAAAGTTGGATGACAGAGAAATTTAGTTAAAATAATAATAGTTACTAATACTACTTGAGTCTTTCTAAATTGAAACCCTACACTTTGAGCTTCAAACCTTCACTCCAATTTATCTCAAGCTTTGAACAAATAGAGTGAAGAAGACAATTGATGTATATGTTGAGACCTATTTATGTTCGACAGAGTTCATCACGAAAGAAGAAAGTGAATATGTTTAAGAAGATTTCATTGGACAAAAGTTCAATATATGACAGTGGTATATCGCTCATTCTATTGACAATATCTAAAAAAAGGGAAAAAATTTGTTAAAAGATAGATGAATAGTAAAAGACGGCTGAGGAATGTATCGAGAATATTCTAAAAATGGATACTATGATCTTGTCGAAAAACTACATTTTATTCGGTTTATTTCTCTTCTTGAAGGCTGGAATGTGAGTGTGTGAATGTAGAAATAGGTCTACATCCACATTCTTGTCGACTAGGCCAACAAAGAGAGAGGAGTATGCCGAATGATGTACATATAAGAAATGTACAATAGGGTATGAGATTGAAATGTTCATTAATTTTTTGGTAACATGCATGTCAGGAATACATACGAATCAGATGCGGTCGATATAAATTAGTATTCAGTCAAATATTTAGCAGTAGAGTAGCGTATACTTCTCTACAGACAATTGTTTATTATGAAGAAAGATCGATAAGTTGTAGACATGATAGTAGCCAACGAAATTCAACTTGTTGTAATAGTGTGGAGGTCGAGTGATTTGACCGATTGACTGAGTAGATTAGCGATATTATTCTAAACATAAGAAGAATTTTTATTCATACACTTTCCTATCTAAAAAAATTTACAATTGCCAAAAATTATTATGTAAACATCTTTAATGTATCTCACAAAGGTGGGTAATATCATATTATCCCAGAAAACATTGTAGTGTAAGTGGAATTATTACGATAAGGAAATATACTTAATTTACTTTTTATGGTAACATTCTGTTAAACACACTGAGTACATATCTCTCCCAAACATACATTTTTGAAAACTTGACTTAACATATTCTTCCTTATTAGCTGTTAAGTTGATCGATTCGATATTTTTGAAATCACTGTTCTGTTATATCGCTAAATGCTATTGATTTGGTTCATTTAATTTAATCAGACTTAATCTTAATTTGAATAGGCGTTCACCATTATGTCAAGTAGAAACATTCTTTGTTAATATAGAAATTAAATAGATTTTATACTGAAAATCGCCTATTAATTATATGCAAGTTTGATATAACTCTTTCTTCTTACCAATTGATTGACAGACCATTGAATCAACTCAATGGAACATCTTTAATCTTTTAAGGACCGAATTTTTTTCAATCGACAAATGGTTCTTCAATCAATTTACTATATTTGGCTGGAAATGATTACATGAAAACTTTATGATAATACATGAAGAAAAGAGAGGGAGAGAATCTGACGTTATTGTACACTAGCAGAAAAAAAGAAGAATATTTGAGAAGAATCTATATGACAGGAAGAAAGAGAGAAAAGATATGAATCAGATGGTAGGTAAGACATCTTATTACCTTACAGATCATAACAGTTTAAGGTAAAGCAAACATTTTTTCTATTGAAAAATAGATGGGACAAATATAATCCCCGATCTTCAAAGGGTTAAAGAGTCGACTTTACTTGATACAAAAATCAATTTAGTTTTAACAGGTTTTTTGTTATTCTTTCTTGAAAAAATGTTCATACTAGAGCTCTAAGTATTTTTTTCGAAAAGTGTCAAGCATCAAGTCATAATCAAATATTTTTTATTGTTTTTTCATCGCATCTGTGATTTGCACATTTTATTCATGCAATATGATGAAATTCATTCTTTCTCTTATGCTTTTTCTGATAAAATCAATATTGTGAATTATTTCTATCGTTCTTTTATTTTTTCAAAACAACATAATAACAACAAACAATATTTTTATTTTTTCACACTTTTTTTCTTGGTTGTTTTGTTAGATGTTGACCCATTTTTCTTTTCTGATGACGGAGATTTTTTTTCTTCTTCTTTCTTGATTGATTTCAATGGAATGAAATCTGTTAATTCATATTTAATTCCAGCTGCCGCTAATTTCTCTTGCTGTTTTAATAGTTTCTTGGCACGGCGTTGATTACTTTTTTCAATTTGTTCTTTGGATTTAATCCGATTATAAAGTGTACGTTTTTGTCTTGGTGTTTTCACAGTAAATAATCGTTTCCAATTTTTAAATAATTTTTCTGTATCAAATTTATTTCTATCGATCAAACGACACTTAATTAATGAACGAAACATTAAATAACCATTCATCGTTTCTGATGCAATACGTGCAACATCTTCATCTTCAAATTCAACATAAGCATAACCACGACTACCACCCGTCTTTTTTGAACGTATTAGTTTTAAACGTGTCACAACACCAAATTGAGAGAAATATGAATATAGTTCACGTTCAAAAAAACCATATGGTAAACCAGATAAACGTATAAGACCCGGTTGAATTGTAACTAATTTATTTCGTTTCATATCAGATTTTTTTATTTTACGTTTTCCACTACCAGCTACAGTTGGTAATGAAAGTGTTTGTTCTTCTTGATCATCATCTGTACTGGAATCTTCGGCATTAATAAGACGATCATCATTATCATCAATCATTTTAGCCATAATAAAAATGGTGATCTAAAATGAAAAAGATAGAAATATTTTCTATTTTTTCCTCGTGAAAAATAAATATAAAGATATCTGAAAACAATAAAATAAATGTATAAATACGAGATTTATGCACGATTAAAACTATTCAGAATAAATAAAAACCTGTTTGAAATTAGTAAAGAATAAAATAAACAATTAAGCCATTAGTATCAAGAATGTTAAAGAAAGAAACTACATAAATTATCACAGAAGAAAAACAAACAACGAGAAAAAGAAAACCGAGATAAATAAATAGTTTTATTTTTTTCTAGGTTGTTGTTGTTGCATCATTCGTCGATGTTCAGCTTCAGTCAATTCAAGATCAAGCTTTGAAATTGTATTCATTAAACTATCTCGTTCACCACGTAGAACATTTATTTCTTTTTTACGGACACTTAATTCTGAACGAAGTCGGTCATTTTCAAGTCGAATCATTTCCGCTTGTCGTAATTTTTCTTGAACATCATGATCATCATTGCTCAATTTAGATGAAATTGTATTATTTAAGTCACCTACATTTAAAAGAAGATTGTATACATATATATATATTTTTATTAAAAACTCAAGATTTAATGCTAACCTTCATTCTCATCTGTTTGAATCATAATTTGTCCATCAATTTGTCTGAGAACATGCATACGTTTAATATGAAGTTTTATTGGTGGTTTTATTTCTACCAATGGTGCTGTCGTTGTATATTCATGCGCATGCTGAAATTTTAAAAAAATTTATCAAAACAAAAAAAAAGCAAATAAATTCATATACTCCAAATAACAATTGTACATTATTGAGATGAACATCAATAGGAACAGATTTCTGTGGACGATTTTTTCTAAGACTTTTTTCTTCACTTGTACGAACTTCTTCAAGATTTTGTACAAGTATATCAAGAGCATGTGTAGCAATAGCAAGAATACGATTTTTTATTTTAATAGTAACACTTGGTAATGAACTTGATTTGTCTTTAGAAAAATCAACACGCATATTAATTGGCGGAGCATTTTCATTATTAAGTTTATCTATTAATTTTAAAAAAAAAAGTAATAATAAAGTAGATTGATGAAAATTAATTTAAACATACCAGGATTTTCATTTTCAAATAATTTTGGTTTAATTGAATCAAATTTCAATGAATGAAATTCATCAATACGTAAATTCTGTACATTACAAGCCATATAAATTGATTTACCATTTTTTTCTTCATCTGCAGTTATATAAATTTTTATTTGATTTAATTTAACAAATGCTCCGTTAATCTATAAGAAATAAAAATAAATTATATTCATTTTTTTTGTTTTTATAAAATAAACATACGGATTCTAATGCATTTGTTCCAATGACAATATTATTAATATTAGTTTTTTCTGCTAGACTAATACTATCATCATCAAGTTCAATACGTGCTGGTTTTTCTTGTTGTTGTTGTTGCTGTTGTTGTTCATATTCATTGTTTAATAAAGTTGGATCAACATCAGCATCTAAATCTTCACTTAATTGATCCCATTGTGATGATGTTTCATCACCATTATCAACCATATTTACTAATGATGTTTGTGAAGAACCACGTGAACCTTTTGATGTTATTTCTAATCCACGTTGAATATTGTCTTCTATTTTAGATTTTTTTTGTCCTAATGAATTAAAACTTTTACTGTTCGAATTTTTATTATCTTCAATACTAGTAATCGATGATGATGATGATTCAAGTTTAGCCGTACTAGCAACAATAGCTGTTGATGCTGTTATTAAATCAATAACAATATTTGAATCAGATGTATCATGCATAATAGATTCTATTTCTGCTGCTTCAGGTAGACTAGGTGGAGGAGGTGGTATTGCAAGATTAATCATAGCATCTTCAAGACCATCGATAACAGCAAGTGTAAATGTTGTTGGTGAAATTAAACAAACATTTATTTTTATATCTTTAGAAGGTTTGCTAGATAAAGATGAAATCTGTTGGAGTTGTTGTTTTATTAAATGACTTTGAACTTTATTTTGTTCGAGTACATCAAGAAATAAACCCAATTCATCGAGTAGATGCATAATAAATGTATATTGTTTTTGAGAAATTTTAAACATTGATGGTGCTTCGAGAACACTTAAAATATTTACCCAAGCTGATGGTGTTGAAGATCCAACTAGATATGATAGAATATTAGCTTTTTCCGAACATATAATTAAGATATATAAGTATTACCTTTTTGATTTTCATCAACTACAACCCAACCTGATATTGCAAAAGAATCAGTCATATTTTGTTTTGCTAATCGAACAGATTCTGACGGAGATGCTGGTGTAAAATCCATATAAATACTGTCGGCATTAAAATGCCAAATATCATATTTTGCAGCCTAATAAATATAAACAAAAATATGCAAGTCAATATTTATTTTAAATGAAATTTTCATCCAAGACTTGAATCTATGAGTATTTTCTATAATTTCGATAAAATCTGTAAAAAACTCGCAGTTTAATCATTTAGTAGAATCAAATCAATGAGCTGGAGATCAGTTGTATTTACATGAGCACAAGTAGTTGAGATATTCTTTTTATATAGATAGGCAATGTCAAAATCTTCAGTTAAATCACTTCAAATAAAAATAATCAGCTTTATTATACCATCGAGATCAAGAATCATATTGAATCAGATCATGAAAACGGCTGTATATCAAGTATAACCAATTATTTCCAATAGAGATGTTCATGGCGGCGTCACCGCGATGGTGGCAAAGGCAAATTTCTAGCCACGATGGACATCTCTGAATTACGTGTCTTGCAATTTCTCATTCAGACTTTGTCTGACAAAAAAAAACAAAAAAGTTTTTATTTATTACCTTCTTCAATGAATCTGTCGTCATTGTATAATATGAATGTAGTGCTGCGTTAGCCGATGGTGATTCAGGTAATGTACTACCAATTTTTTTAGTTAACGGATTATTATATAAATATGTTTCATACGGATGTTTATTAAATAATGGACTAATACGTGTTGTATTCGATGAATCATTTGATAATGGCCATTGATTTAATTGAAAAAAATTCGTTTTTTTAAATAATTCTAAATGTTGTTCAAGTTTATTTCGATTACTAGTTAATTCGGAACGAGAATTTGTAATTAATACTTTTGAAATATTTAATTCAAGTATTTCAAGTTTCTGTTGATTTGATATTTCTTTATGTTCTAATAAACTTGGTATAGGATTATTTTCATGTTTAGCTTCTTGTAATTGATAGGCACCAGAAAATATATCCGAACTAATAACAATCTAAATAAATAGAAAAAATAAAAGAAAAATTTCGAGAAAATCAAAAGAAATCTTTTATATACTCGTGGTAACATAGCTTCTATTTTAATAGCTACATGTTCAAGATCCATACTAGGTTTATCATTTTTTAATACACCTGAATTATCCTACAAAAAAAAGAAATCAAATAAAAATAAGATTATTTTTCTTCGAGAAATTTCTTTACTATAGTCATTGATACTGATGAAAGAAAGGCATGAAGCCAACTATATGTTGCAAAATCAATGCGCATAACCACAGGCATTATTTGAATATATAAATCACTATTTGGTACTAGAAATTAAAAATCAAAAACAAAAATATATATGTCTATAAATAATTGTTATCATGATTTACTAGGAAATGCATATGGTAATGGATAATAATATTCAGTATGTTGAATATGAATAACACCTAAAAATTCTGGTAATTGATATTGTGTTCGATCTGATGTAATTAATGGTCGACGACGTTTTTGTTCTTCATGTTTATTTGTATTACTATGTAATGAAACAGGATAAAGTACAAGATCATCTATATTCATAACAGTACACGATTCAAATAAACGAATACGATTTGTACGAAGAGCTTTTTCTAATTTTGCAGCTAACAAAGAAAAAGACAATAAATTTAATCATAATTTAATGATTATTATTATTTTTTCTTGTCGTTGAAAAATTGAACTTACATGTTTCATCATTCGGTGCATTATTTTTAGCAGATGTAAATTGTTCAGTCCATTCTTCTTTTAATCGTGTTGCCCATTCATCTCGATTTAATGCTAACATTTCACTATATTTTATCCAATGAGTTTTTGATGATCCATATTCATGATAAGGATAATGATCTATAGATAAATTTGCTAATGTTATTTGAAGTGCACCACCTTCAGCTAGACGGCTACCTGCAAAAAAATAAATCAATAAAGAATTAAAAACTTTGTTATATTTAATGGAAAATAAAGAGAACTGAACAATAACAACAAGACAATATTAGATATTTCTTTTTTTTCTGTCTTACTCGTTGACTGAAGACAAGATTCTGAGAAAAATTCAAAAAATAAAGATTCTAGTTTTGAATAGAAATGATTTATTGTTTTTAATTTTAAAGAAAACTTTTACATACTAAAAATCTTTGAATCAGCAATAATATGTATATCCAATCGTTTAATATTAAAATGTAATGATGTTTCAACGATATCATAATGATTAAAAGGATCATTCGATTGTTGTTGGATATTTAATGTGCCACTAGAATTTATTGAATCATTGTTGCCTGTTGTTGGCGGTTTTGGCTGAAATGTTGATGGTTGTTGTTGCTGTTCTAATTTCTAGATTATATAAATCATTTTAGAAAACTTATTATCAAAATAGTAATAAAATTTCGGTCTTCTACAAGCAGATATTAGAAAGTTCAATTATACTGAAAAATAGAAATCATTTAGTATTTTCTTCTTTCACACCTTCTATAACGTGGTGCATGATTGTACGAAATTTGTTCATTACAATATAGTTGACATCGTCAATAAGATTTTTTATCAGCACCATTCAATATGTAGAGTTCATTTTAAACAGCATTATATCTATACTAACTAGTAGCAGATAAAAAGTCGTTACAGAAAATTGACAAAATTAACTTTGAGAGCATTGCGACGATAGCACAATTAAATTAAGCAATCACCATCGGAATCTGTTAATCAATATTAGTCGAGCAAAATCAAAGCGAATAGAAACTTATATGTATCAAAATTGTATCATTTGTTTCTTCTGTTTTTTTTTTCGAAAAGTTAAACAATTATTCAATTAATAATATTTCGGATATAATTAACATTATGTTGAATAGTCAATGAACAAAGCTATTAAACGAATCATCTAAATAAACGATTGAAATAACATTTTTTTGTTGCTATTGAAAGGTTTTTCTCTTTTTTTTTGTTCATTTATATTCAATGATATTGTTCTTTTTCTATCAATCTCATTTTGAAGAATGGCTGACAGATATATTAGATTTTTTTTCCTCTTTTGTATTTATTCAAAGATCTATGCAATCAATTATTTTCAGATCACTTCTTTGTCTTCTTCTTCTTCTTCTTCTTACTCGTGAATATTAGACTTCGACTTGACCTAATCAAAATTACAATTTACATGTAGCTCACTTCCTATTATTTTCTATTATTGACATATAGTCATTTCCTTGTATCTACATCAAGTCGTAAATGTAATTTTTAGCGTTGTAATTGCTATTTTAGTTAAAACATGACTATTGCTCTTGTAAACTATTGATTCGATTGCAGAAAAAACACTTCTATTCTTTTATAACTTATTTAGACTGAAGTGCTATTATCAGACGAAACTCTGGATATGTCCTCTTATTTTCTGTTTATGACATTCTTGCTTTATCTAAAAGAGAATTGATATGAAATCAAGTGATGTTTTTCTACTAACTGTTGAAATATGATGAGAATGAAAGAATTTTTCTTTAAAATACATACTGTTAATTTATCTCCAGCTATACGTTTTCGTTGTTCAGATGCACGTTTCATTAATTGTGTAATTTCTTTATAAGTATTTAGAGCTGATTTAAGTTGTGCATCATTAACAACTGATAAAAGATCATCAAAATGAACCATAACACGTGATGTTACCATTGTACTATCTATAAACAAAGAAATTTCATTTTGCTTTTTTTCTTTTTTCAATTATCACAAAAAAATTTACCTTGAAGATTTTTTTTCATAGAAATTCTTATTCGACATGCATTAGCAATCAAGCGTATAGCTGCTGTTGCCATACTACTATCATTTGATGATGCTTCAATACGTGCATTTTGCCATGAAATTTCCTTTTCATATACAGAACGAAAGCAGATTAAACAAGAAACAAAAAAAGTTCAATATTTTTACTTTAAAAAGAAGAATATGATCTTTAGTTGAATTAGGAAGACGAGTTAACTTTAATGTATCAACTCTTTTTCCATAAGGTGTTATACTATAAATTTCAAGACTTGGTAACTAAAGAAAAATAAATAAAATCCTTTAATTAAATACAAATATTAATTTTTTACTTACAAAAATAGATGCTTTAAAAGCTTGAGCTTTTACAGCAAATGTTAAATTTGTAATTGTCAATGAAATACCATCAATAACTCGATTTGTAAAACCGTATTTACCCAATAATCTATATTACAAAATTCAAATGTTCTTTAAACTGAAGAAAAAACTTTTTACGGATCATTAGCATTCGATGAATCATTTGAATTACGGAAATCTCTTAATTGTTCGTATGTTTCAATTTCTATTGTTACATCATCTAATTGCTATAGAAATTATGTTTAAAATTTTCTATTTTGTTTATTAACGTTTTTTTTTTTCTCTTACTAATTGAATTGGTAATGTTTTTAAATTTGTCCAAGGAATCTAAAAATTATATTTGTTTTTCCTTTGTTTACATATCGTTGTTTTTCTCTTTACTTTAATAAAAACTCGGCCACATGTTGCTTTTCGAATTTTAAGCCATGTTGGTAATTCAATAACATCTTCTAATGCTTGTTCATCTAAATCAATTGATGATAATTCACCTTCGCCTTTTAATGTACTTAAATTGATTTGATTTGATGATAGATTTTTAACAAATCTGTTGTTTTTAATAAAATAAAAAAACAACAACAATTAAAAAAGAAGTAAATAGATTTCGTATTTCAAACTTCGATAAACGTTTGATAATTTGATTTTTAATTAACGATGCCATTTAAAACATATCAACAAGTACACAGTTTTTGAAAGAGTAAAATGAAAAGGTAAAAAAAAATTTTTCGTATTTCTTTTCTCAGAAGCAAAGAACTCTTTCATGATGATCAAATCAATACAATTATTTGTAGATGTCAGTCAAATTCATAAGAATTTATTTTATCAAAACGAAAATACAAATTATTTTTTCGTATCTTTAAATGTTCCTTGTACTTCTCCAGATATTGCAGTTGTATCTATTGTTGTATTCGTATGATTATGTATCCATTTATGTTCAATATATTCTTTCATATGCACTTGTTCACGTTCATTTGGTCTACCAAAACCTCGTTGAATTAAATCAATTAGTTGTTCAAGTAAACGATTTGTTTGTGAAAAATTCGTTTCAATAATATAAATAAGATTTTTTTCCAATGAACAATATGGTTTTTCAAGTTCATAAGTTGAACTATAAATTAATTGAATATTTGATGATAATGCTTGTTCAAGATTATATTTTGAACGAGTACAAGCAGATAAAGATTTACATCGAAGTGTTATCCATTCAGTTAGTATATGTGGAGCATTATAAATGTTATATTGTTGTATTGTATTAAATGAACAATTAAAATTAATATCACGACCATATTTATTCCAATCAATACGTATAGATTTTACATTTAATAATGATAAACTACAATTAATATATTTACATTGAATAGCTATATTACGTAGAATATATGATTCAATATTATGAAAATCAAGGTGAAGTTGAAAATTATATTCATAGTCACTTGTTGTTGTATTATATATACATGCATTTATTGTTTGATTATTATAATTAATTTCAATTTTACTTGTATAAAAATATTGACATGGATAAGGTCGATATTGAAACACATGATAATCATAATTCAATAATTGTACTGTTCTTATATAAGCAAGAGCAAGATCATCTGACCATTCACTAGATTTTAATGGATCATATAATAGAGTATAACTCCCATATAGATCACTACTAGCTAAATGAAATCCAAAATTGAGAAAAGTAAGAAAACAGATTGTAAGATGCATCATTGTTAACAAAAAGAATTTTTCAATGCTTTATCTTCTATGATTGATGGAAATATGTAATAGTTATATATATATATATATATATATATATCACTAACTGATGACAGATACCAGCGCTTGGTGATGGCTCCTATCTCTTCCACTTTTATATTGGATTAATTATTATTCTTCCTATAGTATTAATAACTGCCGATGATCAAAGGCAAAAAAAAAACACTCTAAGTGCATTTCTATATATATATATTCTTTGGTCGATTTTTCTGTAAAATTACGCACATAACAAGAGACAAAAAAAAATATATCTATGATCATAACAATTTTCCTTGTTTATCGTCTTTTTCGTACACAAGCAAGAAAAGAAAAACCAAAAAAAAGTGAACTTTTTCTCTAGTCTAATATAAAAAAAACAATTGATAAAAACAGTCTCATCAATCTTCACTACCATTCAACGAGCAAAAAAAAAAAGAATGAATTTCAACACAAGTCAAACAAAATTATCTAGATACTCAACAATGAGTATTAAATGTACACGAAAGGGGGGTGGGAGGACAAAAAAATCTTTTTTGATATCAATTCATCAATATGATGTAGAATAAAACACAAAAAAAAATTTGTTTTTTGTTCAAGATTGTGGCGGAGAGCCTGTATATCGAAGATCATAACGAATGTTTATAGGACGATATTGCATAGGTTGAGAAGAAAATGATAGACAAGAACGAAATGTAGACACACGTGTTCGTCGTCCATCACCAATTTTCTCATTTGTACCTGTAAATCTTTCACATTGTTTTGTTTCATAACGATACTCTCGATATTCTTCTTGATAATCAATATCAATCATCATACGATATTGATTTGGGATACAAAATTCCTAATAAAATAAAATAAGAATTAGTTTTTTTTTTCTTTAAAAATGATAAATTCTTACTGTTGAATATTCATAAAATGCTTTATAACCACCATCGAGTAAATAAATTTCTGGATAATGTAATTCTGGATAATTTTTTTCATGTATATTTCGATCTTCGGATCGAAAATATCTTAAACTAAACAAAACAAATCCTCTGTATATTTATTCCTTTAATAAATACAAGGATGTCCCGGCCGATGAAGAGAAGACACAATGTACATCTAGGTAGGCGTTTGGCTACATAGGAAAATTGCGCTTTTCCAAGATTTAAATATAGAGAAATATACTTCGAAATATAGTCTAATTAATAATATAAGTAACTTTGTAACAACCCTCAAAGAAACTGAAAAAGTCTGTTGGCCAAGAATTAGCTTGAAAATCGTGATATCATCAGAAAAATTGACATCTGACAAAATTAAACTGTTCGATACACAAATCAAGTACATTTTCTCAATCTTCAAGTCGAGTTCTATACAATGATAAAAAATATTTTTTTAATTTGCACGTTTATAGCTTCTGAAAAAAACGAATAATATTTTTTTTTCTCAGTGCCATCCAAACGGCTAGTCCCTAAAAAAAAACTTTTCCAAATTTTGTCAGAATGTTCTTCTATCTACTATCTCTCATTCTTGTTAGCGCAAGCACTCCAGGACTACACAGTGGGTTTCCAAAAAAAAAACATAGATTTTCCAGGTATTCTGCAATCTTTCTTCTTAAAAAATGTTTTCTTTTTGTTAAAAATACTTTTCTGCGTTATATCTACTCATTTCTAAGCAAAAAAACAATCCATTTTCGAGTAAGAGAATCACATGTCCATCTGCTAAGTGAACAATGCACACTGTGGCTCTCCCCAAATCTGATCAAATTTAACAAAAACTTCTAATCAGCCTATTGACTCATCAATTCTCCTCTCAACCCCAGGCGACCCCGAAATACCCCTGGATAAATAACTTACAGTGATGGTGCCCGTTCTGATGAAAATTCACAATGAAATATAAATATATTTCGTTTTGTTGGATCTTTTAATTCAATTGGTTTACGAAAAAATTCATTATAAATGTTTTTACGTGTATAAAGATTTTTAGCTAAATGAATATGACCACCTTCATATTCATATGGATAACGACAATCAATTATATGTAAATTTTCTATTTCAGATGCATAAACATTTTTTAAAATATTAATCATCTAAGGATAAAATGAAATTATTTAAAAAAAATGAAAAATTTTTCTTTTTTTTCTCTTCAACATACTGTTTCAGGATTAATACAAGCAAGATCAGGATGTTTACGACTTTTACATCGTGGTAAAAGATATGTACGTGAACGATCACCAATTAAATCACGATTAGAACCAAGTTCAACGGATACTTTTATTTGTTCTTCATTTGGTTCAGTTAAACTACGAATTAACTAAATAAATAATTGAATAGAAAATAATATGAATAGATTTTAAATAGAAGACATACTCCAATTCCATGTCGAGAACGTTTTATAATCGATGGACGATTTATAATTAAATCATTTTCTTTATTACTTTCATCGATTATTTTACAACGTTTTATTGATCGAGAATTTTCACTGTTTCCATCATCATCAACATTATCATCATCGTTATGAAGACGTTTCTACAGACACATAAAAATTTATAATAAAATAAATTTTGAAAATATAATTTTTACATTATTATTTGAATTTTCTTCAGTAGTAATAACCGTTAAAACTGGCATATTTTTTTCATTATCAGATAAGCAAAGAGGTAATGGTCGCATTCGTCGTTGTCGAGTTTGATTAGGTAAATTTTCATCATTATCTCGATTTGGTGTCACTGTTGAAAGAGTTTTATCAAATAATTTAATAAGTTGATCAGAATGAGAATCCTAGAAACAAAATTTTCTTTATTTAAGATTGTATTTTTTTTTTTGGTATAAAACAAACCGATGATGATTGAGATCGTGTTTGCATTGGATGACAAGATGGTTTATTTCTATATTGAAATACACAGATATATTTTTCTTAAATTATTCTTCTAACAATGAAAACCTACTGATTAGGAGTTAATTCATCTAGACGAATTTTTTTATTTTTATTTTCTTTAATTAATGTTTGACGTTTATTATTACGTAATGATGCTGGTCGTGGTAATTTATTGAAACCATAATGTTCTAATTTTGAACGTGTTTGTCTTGTTATAAGATTATCCGTTGTTTCAATTCGTATTGACAAACTAAAATTAGAAAAAAAAATTTCTTCTTTTTATTTTTTTTTCTCTATGAACTTTCTTTAACAGTTTTATTTGTTGACACAAAACAAATAACAACTAAAAATCGGCTTAGCTCACCGCTGTCAAATACAATAAGATTATCATTTTGTTGTCTATCTGCTAATAGCAGGGTAGCACATATCCATTTAAAAAGAGAAGAAAAAAAAAAAGAAGTCTGATGAAAGTTGACACTAGTCGATAATTACATCAGGGAAAAGTTCGTTGGAAAAAGAATAAAATGTCAACGGTCGAACAAACACTCCCCCTACACTTGAGTGCCATCGAATTGTCAGTCATAAATCAACTAGAACGAATCTATCGTGGACCATAGGGTGGATTGTTTAATATTCAATACAATCCACTTCATTGCTTAGACATCAAAAGATAGAATAAGAAGAAAAAAAATGAATGAAGGAAACACTCACTGTTCATCTTGATGTTGTTCTTGCCTGAGGATATGAACTAGAAATAAAATAAAAATTGAAATGTGAAAATTTGAAAAAAAAAGATTTATCTCTTTTCTTTTTGTTACCTGAAGATATCGCTGGTGGACTATTATCTGTTTCATCATCACTTGAAGAAAAGACAAGTTTACGTCGAGGTGTTCGTCTAAAATTTATTTATCATATTTAATGAAGTAGAAAACAGAAGTATTTTCTAACGGTTTCACTCTATTCATCAATATTTATTCAACTGATAAACAATATATCGATGCTTTTTTATTCGAGCGCTTCAATATTCAACGGTTTAAATTTATTCAAAATGATGAGAATTATAAAATTAAATCAAATTTTCTTCGAAGTCTTACCGTATTATAAAATTCCAACTCATAACTGAAATATTCATATCGAGTTCATGTTTAATATTCAATAATGTATTCATATGTGCATTATGTTCAACTATGATTTTATCCTTTGGATAAACGAAAAAAATATTTGTTGTCTTCTACTTTTGTCAAGTTTAATGAATTTTGTCATGTTTTTTGAATGTATATTCATTACAAAGAAGAAGAGGGAAAGAGGAATAATGAATGGGAGAAGAGATCGATGCAATGAAGGATAACATCCTTTTTTTTTTATTTCCTTTCCTCTCGGGAAAGAAAGTTCGTTGGACGAAAAGCAAAATAATGAACGTTAGATGCGAACTTCAATGTTATTTTCATTTGCACTTTTTCTGAGTGCTATTAACACAATCTAACACTTTTCGATATATATATATATATACATATAAAATCAAAGAAGAATATATATATGATAAAATATTCTTCTATTGGATATAAAAGAATTTAAGATAAGCATTCATTGAAATATTTCTAATTATATATCATGTCAACCTTGAATAATCTCATTTATGAAAGTAAATTGATGTGTGAAAATCGATGAAACAAAAATTTCTATAAGACTTTAAATATGTCACAGATGGAAAAATGAAAATTACCTGTCACTAAAAATATTTCGTGAAGTTTGCATTTAAGATATGATGAGATCAATTAACATGAATATTGAAGACTAATAATAATGAACATTTTGAATACTTGATTATTTGTTATACATGTTTCAGTAGACGAGAGAAATCAAAATATTTTAACAAGAAAAACTTTTCTTGTTCTATTCATATAGACATGTTCGACTGACTGTTTTGTATATATGCAGCTGTTGTACGAATTAAATATTTTTTCCTCTCTCTTTCTCTCGTGCGAAAGAAAAGAAAAAGATAAGCATGTCTTTATTTCTTCGTTTCTATTTAATCAGCTGATCGATTTACAGGAAAACGAAAAATAAAAAAAAAAAGGAGTTCATGTAAATATCATTCAATCTTTTTGAAATTGTTAAATCTTATGATGCAATATCTATATTTGAAAAACACACAACCTCCAGTAGTGTTCTGAGCCTTAAGTCCCCTTCTCCTCATTCCTTTTTCTCCAGCGTTCTATCCATTCTTTGCTTACCAATTTTCAAAAAACAAACAAACAACTTATTCAAGGTCGAGCGTAGTGTTCCGAAATCGTAGGAAAAATTCTGAATGTTTTTCCCAGTTATTGTATTTTATGAAACTCGAGCTTGCAAATGTTTGATTATAATTTCGAAATAGACGCTTTCCAGCTATTAATACATCTTTGTTATGCTAATGTAATCATTTTAAGATATAGAGCTTTGAGACTACTAATAGTACATGTTCTCTTGAATCTAAAGCCTTTCCAAACTAAATTGAACAGATTGTATTATTAAAAGAAGCTATTTGAATAGACAATTTCACCAATATAAGCTGAGTTTTTGAGCTTAAGAAGAAACTTTTCACATGATAATTCAAACTTATTAAACTAAATTAGACTCAGCCATGAATGATGAATTCAGAGATTCAAATACGAATATAAGCGTAGTTCTATTAACTACTTTCTGAATTTTCATTGCAAAAATTCCGATTTATAACTTTTCGACCTGACAATCTTGACCTACTTTCCAATCTCGGAGACCTCGGTACATTCCTGATCATCATCTATGTCTCTATCTTTTTTTAACGATCAACAATAAAGAGAGAAAATAAAAAGCTAAAGTATTACCGCAACGCATGCCTAACGGACTTGTTTTATCACAATATGAACACTTTTTTTCTCACATATGACTGTGAAAATGAATGATCTTTCTATACTTGTTTCGATCGGCGTAACATCAACTTGTTGTTATTTTTTTTGTCATAAACAAGTAATCGTTTTTGACAGATACTTCGAATTTGATATTTCTTTGAAGTTTCGAGAAAAAAACATTGTTTTTTTGTTATATTTTTAAAAATGATTTGTTTATTTAGATGTAACAAATTATTGGTCATTAGATATGCATTACAGAACTAATCTAAATGATAAATTGTCTATGACTAATTTCATGTAGAGTGAAAGTTAAATGAATAACAATTGATTGATTTTTTTTCTGTTTTTTGGTTATGTAACTAATTCACACGACATATATGCACACGAGACCAATTATTGTTATATTGAATTTCGCACTTCGACTTCTTTTTGTTTTGTTTACTTATTTTGTGTATATTCATGTCACTAGAGCATATGTGTCAGATTTGAATGCTTTTGCCAGTTTTGTCATGAATAATCTTTTTTTTTTGTCTATCGTTACTATTTGTTTATCTTGCCAGTTATACGAACGACAGTAATAACAAGTGTTTTTCTCAGAATTAAAGTGTGACATATCAATTGGCTTTCATATATGAGCGTGAACATATATTTCACAAACAAATTATCATCAACTGTGATAGGTTTAAATTTTTTATCAATAGTCTTCGTTTAATTAGCGTAACTATAAAAAAACTGATTGTTAAAATCAATAAAATTTTGTGAATTTGTTTTTTATGAATGGGAAAAATAAGTATGAATGGAAAACACAATTCAATTGGAAATTTTCTATTAAATCTCATTAAAGAAAAAATCAAAGAATGCTATATGTGTTAATATGATTGTTTGATATTGGATTGAAAAAAATGAGAATATTTTCGAACAGGAATAAATATCATCAACATTTCAAACAGCTTATCTTGAATGAGGACAGGAAGGAGATATCGCTTTGGTAAATTGTTGTTAAGATAATGAAACATATTTAATTGTTATGTCTTTATATGAAATGACAAAAGTATAATTATCGAATATTCGAAATATATTTCGTTTAGGAAGAGAATATGTGATATCTAGCTGTGCAAGATAATTAGTCAATAGGTTGGATTATATCAAATTTTGTTTTCTGGCCTTTTCAATCAATGTGGGTAGACACATGATTAGATGATTTTAGGAACGAGCCGTGTAATATAGACCATATTTCAGCGATGTCATGTTTATTTAGTCGAAATCAATAAATAAAAACGACAATGATATTGTCAGCAGTGAGGAAAATGAAAGCTGCTGTATTTTAACTATATAGTGCACCTCAATTTTCGTAAAGATTTGATTATCGCAAATTTCTATTACAACTGTTTGTATATTTAAATACCCTTTACCTGCCAATGTGGGGTGAAAATCAAACATAGTACAATAAAAGAAAAGAAAAAAAAAAGGAAAAAAAGTCTTTCTGCTCATTAAACGTCCAGCAATGTTCGTTTGGTGAATATTTCGTGTGATTGTCGATGGTCTCGCGCATAGCATCTCCAGGTCGCGACGACTTAGTTTCAGTGATATCTATCATTGTGCACATAGTGTACGAAACGTAGTTTCTTCGACCAGGAGATTGTTGATGCTTTATCTATGGATATTGTTTGGTTTACACCACAATTTTGAGCATGCTTTGACGTGGTTTGTGATCCCTTGTAGTTTAACATTTTTCTTACATCGTAGTCATGTGTAAGTCTCATCTATATTACGAGTAATTATTTCTGTTACCTTTGGTTGAGAATAGGATGCTTTTGTTAGTGTAGTTTGCTTTCTCACATGTGTTTGTTGTTTAGGCTTTTGAACAATGATCTGAATATTTGGTAATGATGGTATAAATAGTGTATGTTTGTTGATCACGTGACGCCATTGATTTTGATCTAGCGTCTGCCGTCGCCAGTTTTGAATCTGCCATTTTTCTAGATCGTCTATACTCTTATCTTGCCATCTCTTTCGAATACCAGTATTCCGAGATCGTTTTGAACACGAGTAATAACTAAACATGGCTTTTTTAACAATTAATGGTTCGTTATCACTACTATTCATCCAATTAACATGTCCGAACCAACAAAGTCCGTTTCGTCTTAGAATATCAAGAAAATAAGGCTGATCAGTAAGTTTCAGCAGTTGTTCATCAGACATTTTGCCACTACAGGTTATTCACTTTATTTTGAAATAATTTGCAGGTAGTTTTTCTTCATTACTAAATAAGTCAGATCTAATCGTTCTCATATTAGTTTATCTGCCTAACACTGAAGATGCTTTCACGATATTTATATTTTAGATAAACGAGTGCCTCATAATAAAATGTCTAATGATATCGAAGGGGTTGTTAAATATCTTTTGACGAAAAAGTATTTATATTCTGTTATAAAAAAAGAATTATCTGAAATGAATCTTAATGTATCAAGAAGTACCATAAGTCGTATTACTAACAAAGTTGGAAAACAGCGCCAATTAGATTAATTAAATAATCAAAAACCAAAATTTAATCGTCGACGTCATGTAGCAACACCTACAATTGTTCGTCGTATTACATCATATATTAGTAAAGAAAATCCTCCAACAATCAGGTTAATGGCTGCAAGATGTGATATCAGTATTGGTGCTGTTTTTAAGATTATTCGTAATGTTATTCATGCAAAATGTCGTAGAAAAAGACCAGTACATCGATTATATCCAGCTGTTATTGAGAAGAGACGAACTAGAGCTTGGCGTATGTATCGTCGATTATGTAATGAAAGATATAAAAATTATGCAACTACCGATGAAGCATGGTTTTAGCTTAAAGGAAATCAAGGTGTTCGAGATATATATTATGTTCGAAGCAATGAATTACCAGATGAAGTTCAAAAAAAATTCAACAGAATGATTTACATCCTGTAGCCGTCATGGTATGGGCTGGTGTGTCTGCGCATGGAAAAACTCAGTTACGCTTTATTGAGGAAGGTGCAACAATTACCATAAAATATTATATTGATCATATAATAGAACCATTTATCAAAAATGATGTACGACGTTTGTTTCCTCGGTGATAAAGCAAAAGAAATGATTCTTCATCAAGACAATGCCCCAGGTCACAAGGCAAAAGATACACTTGCTTATTTGAAGAAACATAAAATCCAAGTTATAACACCTGAAGAATGGTTGCCGAAGAGTCCAGATGCCGCTTCAATGGGCTATTCAATTTGGGGTATTTTAAAACAGCGAGTACGAAAACACAAGGTGTCAACGTTGCATGGGTTGAAGATGCTATCAAACAGGAGTGGGAAAATCTCGAACAAGATGTAATTGACCATTCTTTGAAGAATTGGCTAAAGCGTTGTAGGTTAATCTACTATGCTCACGGATCACATATCGAATATTTATTACAATAAATGTATAAAAATAAAAGAATAAAAAGTTTTCTGATTTTGTTTCAAAATAAAGTGAACAACCTGTACATATTCTTTCCATTAATGTTGTTAATTTCTCAATAATAGTAATAATTTTAATTAGTTCTTAATTATTTTTCTTCTATTATTCTCTGTAGATATGTGTGTATTTTCCCATCCTCTTTCACTTGTAATAATATTCTTTCTTATTTCTATTCCTCTCTTACATGTCGTCATAGTCTTACTTGTCGACTTTTATAAATGCAAGAAATTTTCATAAAGTAATAGCCAAATGTCTCGTCATCTAATTAGTGACGCACATGGGGGGGGGGGGTCAATGCAGATACCTCCACGTATAAGATAATGTCTAATCCCGGTGGCCCTGGAAACGTACAGAAGAAAACTTCTGTCCGGCGAAATCTGCGTGAAGCCGTAGCCCGGCAAACTTACGCAACTAGAAGTACTCGAGCAGTTTCCCCAGTGGTATCGGCCGATGCTTCTAGCCAAGAAGGTGAACATCAAACTGCTGGCATTCATGCGGCTTCTTTACCTACTCCTCAGTCCGAAGAAAGTCCTCAAGGACGACAAGGACCGAGTAGTGGCGCCTCTGCTAGTCAGGGGAGAGCAGGCTTATGGACAGGTGCAGAAGTCGAAGAGCTGAAGCGACTGGTCAGCATCAATACTGGCCCAAAGGGAAGAATTTCTTGGGTAAAGGTCGAAGAAGCTTGGAATACTCAGAATCTGCCGGTAAGAACTAAGGCGAGTCTCAACAGTAAGTGGATCGATATTAAGAAGTTGATCAACTTACAGACTCGAGATAATTCGAAACCGACTCAAGATAGTATTGAATCGAACTCTGACAACACCATCGTAGAGTTAATCTTGGAAGTTGAAAAATCTGGCGACACTACTAATCAACAACTGAAGATTAGTACTAACATTCAAGACGTAAACCCGACCGTTGCAAAAGAAAAGGAAAAGGAAATGGTAAAGGACAAGGGAAATTTTGAAGCTGTGGTTCAGTCGACCATCAAAATGAATTTGAAAAAGGCGTGAAAGATAGGCTGTCAGATGACATTGAGAAAAGTGCCCAAAAGAGTCTCTGGCAAGCATATCAAACCTATCATCTGTGAAGTCAACAAACTTATCAAAAATGAAATGGACTTGAAAGTAGGAGATATATCTTGGGATCAGTTGTCAACCTTAGTGTATGCTGGTGCGATGACTATTTCTGAGGTGGGAAACCGAAAGGGGACTGAGACAGGTAATCAGTCAAAAGAATGGTTTAAAAATTCATATAGGAAGTTGATAGTTTGCGTAGTATCATCGGAAAAGGATGTGGGTGTTAGAGCCCTGCGGTACCAAAACAAATGGAACCGAGAACCGGATGTTCCTGTTTCTCTTACCCGGAACCGTTAGGAACCGAAATTTTTCTTGAGGGTGAGAGTTTCAAGATGTGTCGATGTCGCAAGATGCACATTATATCAGTACATTTCTCTCGTTTATCCATGAAAAATTTTCGTGGTAATCCTGGTTTTCAAGAAAAAGCTCTTCAGTCAGTTAAAACGGAAATTATTAAACGGCAGTCAATAATACTATCTACTACATTTGCAATTACTACTCCATCACTTGTTCATACAAATTCACTTGATTCTCAATCGACAACATCAAAAGGTCTTCTTTCATACTGTTTTGATATACCACAAAATTCCTTAACATTGTCAACAACGCCGTATGAATTAGATGAATATATGCCATCAAATATCCCATTAAATTGACATGATGATGTTTTATAATTCCGCGATAACAGAATTTAAAATTACCGATCTTATATTCTATAGCTGAGTATTTTTATGCTGTACAAACATCGAATACCATTGTAGAAGGACTGTTCTCATCTGCAAAAAATACAAGTATCGATAAGTGCATCGATCTTAGTGCAGAAGAAATACTCCTATTATTATTTTTTCAGAAAAATTTAGCATTATTGAGATCGTGTGATGAGAAAAATTGATGAAGTTGATACAACTGAAACGAAAAGAAAGATGGCTGAACAGTCCATCTTCTACAATCTCATGTCCAAACCAAACAACAATCTACAACTACGACAACAAAAAAGGCGTTTAGAATGAGTAACGAAGATGATATTGTTCTTCGTGATCATGATCATTGAGAGGATAAGGAAATGATGAAGTAGGTGTTTTTTTGGAACTTATAATATTAATATTTCATATAAATATATCGTATGTTAGTGTTTTATCTCATTATTTGACTTTTTTTTCTACCTTTTGAAGGAGCTACTTATTTGATGAACTAATAAACACGAAGAGTCTCGAAGATAAAATGTAGAAATTTCTAAAAAAAAAACTTAATTACTCGGTATTTTGTATGTTACGGTGAAATCGTCGGTTCCTAGCAAAAATTTTATGAATTGAAAAAGGGACCGCTTTTTTTCGATTTTGCTAACCGCAACCCTAGGGCTCTACTTAGATGAAACTTTAATCTCGTTCGAAGTAGATGATGAGGTGTGCACATTACTGCGTCAGCAGCGGTATGATAGACTCGTACATCCTCTATGCTTGATCAAAATTTTCTGTCAAGTAATGTGTAATCTAGCATGTACCATTTTTTCTTATCACGATGCATCCAGAAGACTTTATGGATCGGTTTATGTTGAAAGAAGGTGTTACAAATGATTAAGTCGTTTAATGAGCAAAAATCGAGGAATCATTGTCCGTTTTTATTACTTTAATTCACGGTGTGGTGTGTTCCTACAATATCTCGTGTTGTTTGATGCTGTTACGCGCCGATCTTTGCATTGAATTCCACTATCACTAACACTATATCAACCTTGGGTACATGGTCGATTGTCTTTTGTAGTTTGGTATAGAAAGCGTTTACTACCTCAGAGATCGCCTTTTGCCAATTTGGATTAACCCTTTGATCGCCGACATTAGACCGGGAAGAAATGATTTTTCAGAAAATTTGTTGATTATTCTATGGAACAATTGTATAGTATGCCTTAACAAAATGGTGATTTAGAAAGAGCAGGGTACCTAACATTTGTTTTAAGGCACATGTTTCTAAAAAACATACATTATGAATGATTACTTCAATTCATGCAAAGATGAGGTTCCTGACGCATATATGCGTCGACGACAGCCAAAGAGTTAATTGGTGAATAGACAGAGATAAGTGTGACATTGACAGGTTTGCATTCAAGTCTTATTATCATAATTCTTTCATCAAATGCTTTCCAAATGGATCCGATGTTCTTTCATGCTCTAGTTGCTTGCTGATCAAGAAAGACTGCAACACCGTAAGCTTGTCTTGTCTTGTTATCAGGTGTTAAACCTGAAGGAATCATTGTGTAGTCACCTATTATATTAACACCGGAATCATACATGGCTGTTTCACTGATAGCTGTTACGTGGATTCGATGTTTCTTGATTTGTTTGACATGAACTCTTTTTTCGTCTTTCAAAGACACGATGTCACGTTCCATCCACCGAAGAACGTAGATTTATTTGTATTAATGCATTTGGTTTGATTTTGTTCATTAGCTAGAGATGTTTAATGTCTTACTAGTAGGTGACTAACCTAAAAGCATGACATTGTGACTACTGGCAGCCCAGGAACGCCCAACTTCTGCAATGCAGTCATAGGATCCAGCAGACATGTAGAGTATCCTCAGCAGGCGCTACAACTGTTTGATCAATGGAATATTTCTGATGTTCTTTTAAATACAACTATTTTGTTCAATAGAATTTGATTTTCAAATTTAAATAAGAAAATATATTGTGAAAGATTCCGATAGGTTTTGATGAAAGTTTTGTGTTCTATTATTGGTTCCACACTTTTACAAGTCCTTAACTAAACAGAAAATTTAATAATCATATAAAATATTGATAACGAACTAAGGAAACATCCTCGTTTCAACAAAAGGACTATGCTTCTATAGACAAATAATAATAATAAGAATAATAACACATATGTACAACCTTATGCTGATCGTGTTGGAAAAATATTTGATATGGTCAAATTCATTGAAAATGATTGGACACGTAATGAACATCAAGGTGCCTATATGGGTTTGGCTACTATTCATGAATCTCAAATGAAATTAACATTGCAACATGCTCAACCGGACAATGGATATGTATTGACAATGGCACAAATTGAACAAATTAGCGCCGAAAAAGGTGGTGGATCATCGACTGCAGCTGTGTTTCTTATCGAGGGACAATTAATACGAGCAAAAATGGCCTATTTAGAATATTTGGACTTTGGCTTACAGATGTTCGATGATCTTCAGGTAGATTATATAGATTATCAGATGATCCTTTCTTATTCTTGTACATGTTTGAGCTCAAAGTTTCAGTCTAAATTTTCAGAGTGTAAATTAGAGAAGTTACATTTGTTTTTATTTTAAAAAGACAAGGAAACGTTCTTCTATACTAACACAATAAGATTCTTTTTATGGACTCTACTGACCAAAGATAATGAACAATCATATACCGATTTAAGTAGATACACTGTCTAATTATTTTATACTTTTTTCGAGCACAATTTTTTGATCTACTTTATGTCAAAAAAAAAGACTGAGACTCTTAACTGAAACGGAAGTTTTTTGAAAGCTGTGAAATGATAGATTTCAGTAGAATAATCTCAATCTTTTTCTACCGTATCTTATAGATGAATTTATTATCTATACAGGATGTGGAAGAAGACATGAAGAATAATCATCGAACTATTTTCACTCAATCATTGGCTGATGGTCAAACATTGGATGCACCTACGGCTCGTCTCATTCAATATTGTTATTATGCACCACCTTTTGAAAATTTTTCTGATGATCATCGTACAGTATCAGATGCACAAAGCGGTGACACATTGGCTCATTATGTTCGTGCTTCGATGATGATGTTTTTGGTGTTGCTCATTTTGGAAGCTGTTTCTCGACTACAACAATACTATTCTGAGGAATGCTATCGTGAAATATCAACATTCAGTCCATCGGCATTTGATGATCTTAAAATGGCTCGCGTTGAAAAACCATTTTGGACTGTTATGCGAGATCAGTCGTTCTAAATTCTTGTATCCTAAACCTATTTATATTAATTTTGGTGCTGCTAATATAGACCTCAAAAAATTATTCGAATCTAACATAGTTTTAAAGATGGAAAAGTACTTACATCAGTCATAGTTAATTGAAATATTCATGTTAAAAAAAACTAATCAGTAGACTGTGGGTGTGGATATGGGTATGCGTACACTTTTCACCCATATCCACACCTTCTCGTAACTAATAGTTGAGAACAAACTCGAAGTTTTCCAACATACTTTAATCGAAATTTTGCTTCAATGTCGAAGGGCAATTAGAAAATATCGATTATTATCTTGAACAAAAATGTAAATCATAGATTGTGGCTATTGTAATTAAATCTGATCGAGGCTATTTCAAGAATTTTGTTTTTTCTAATTCAACACAAACAAATTGGTTTTGAAGGATAAATAAATGAGCAAGTCAATACCGGTAGATTGTTATAGAATAGATTTCAGTTCAATCAATCATAATTAAAGAGAAATACTTGATGTTCTTTATCATCTTTCGATCTTCCGCATCGATTGAGAAACAGAAATTTAGAAACTTCGAGTCTAACGAAATTTTTGTTCGACTGATCGAAATCAATTCAAATAAGTAATTGGATGTTAAAATCACATCACATCAATTGATATTTACATAAATGGTTTGTATATGACTAAAGTCTATGCACGTCTCTTATGATTTAATCCAATTTTTTTTGCATTCACTTTTGTCTTTTTGTAGCATTTTTAACAGAAATAGCCAATAAGTATAATCGTTAGACTTTAGAATGGTTAAGTTATTTTTTTATACTCTGGTGTACATACGACAAACGATCCAGCAGAATGAGTTTCGACTAAATCAAATGATGTCTAAAAAGAAAGATTACTTTTGTTCTTTTTTCTAGATTTTTTTTTCTAGAAAAGAAACATTTATTGTCAATCTCTGATCAAACAAAAACTACTCTCGTGCGCCTACCTTTTCCATTGATTTATTTATTCTTACTCTAAAGGTTCTTTAAACTTTGCATGATAAATTATGCAAAAAGACCATTTAAAACTCCACGCAGAAATACAATTCTATTGTCTTGAATAAACTCTCGGGTTGTTTCAAGTAACTGATTAAATTAGTGACTGACTAGTATAGTAACTAATTATGGTTTGATTCTGATAGCTATTTGAATTTCATATAATTGAGTCTATTACTATTAAGTGACATCTATTTTCCTTTATGGTTTATTTCAGAACAAAAGAATTTATTTCAACAAACGAATTTTTCTCTCTTATAATTCAGTGACATTATAATTAAAGGGAAATCCATAGTAGTAAATAGTTGATGGACCTTGAAATTTTAGTATAATTTGATAGTTAGAATCTGAATCTTGTACAATAACATCATCCATCGACTTAACTTCAGTTTCGTGACCATCTATTATGCGATAGATACGAATCGAGTAATCTTTGATTAGGCTATTATCAATATTAATAGCATATGGTTGACGTTTTTGTGTAAATGGTGTTTCAATAGTGACGGTTAAATTATGAAGGGGATAAGACCACATAAAACCAACTTTGGTACATAATTTGAAACGCGTCGTACCTAAGTTGAATGTTGCTGACTCGCATGAACGCGGAACAACAATTGAACTCCAACATGGATCGGACGAATCCAATACTGTAGCTTCGCACGATTCATTCATAATTGATATAGCTTGAATAAGCCCGACTGACAGCAAAACGAGAAATATGATTTTCAATAACATTCTTTGCTATGCGATTCGAAAAAATGAAATTCGAAAATACAAAACACAGCACGCGATTTTTTGTAGTTATTTTTTTTCTATATACAAAGCATGACAGAGACAAAAAACGACAGATAAAAGAAATGTTTAAAAAAAGCCAAAGGCGATAAAGTTACAAAGTTATAGTCGGGTTTTTTGTTATTGCTTGTAAGAAATTGTATGATCATCGATGACTATCGATATTTGCAACTTACGTATAAATCAACTTTAAATAAAGCAAAACAAAGTGGACGTATTTATTTTGCATACTTTTGTCCTATAGAAGTACTAGAAACTCTGAATGATGCATCATTATCAAATATAGACGCGCAATTGATTATATATCAGTGACATACATTCAAGAATCAAGTAAAAATCAACATGCGTCGTTTCTTTGGTAAGTATCATTACAGATGAGAATTCATCGGTTTAATTGTACATATGACGATTAATATAGTGCGACAGATAACGATAGTAAACATCAATTAGCCTAGCATCTACAGTATTAAACAGGTAAGTGATATTTCGAGATATATTCATCAACATCAGACTCAAAAATTGATAGGCGGAATATTGAACAAATTACAAAAAAAAAATAAACTAGAAACAACTGCCAATATTCGCTTTCTTGTTTGTGTTAGCCTATTTATAATAGAATGACTTTCCATAACTAGACGTTTTACAAGCGGCAATTATGGTTTTATTTTCTCGATCTATTTATCATCTTAAGAACTTTCTGTACACAAGAATATTTGTCATTATGAAATTAAGTTTATCCGCTACAACGTATCAGTTCAAAAAAGTATCCTGTCTCAACTAAACCTTTTGAGTCAAATTAATTCTGATGAACACTATGAGAGTTGTAAGTATTCTCTTTCACAAAAACAGATGATTTCAAAATGCATTATTTTTCATTTACAAAGCTCTTGACAAGTACCTCAGAGACAGATATCCATATACGTCGATAAAATTAACCATCATCATTACTTCTAAACTGCTTACCTCTTATTTCTGTTCAAAAAATTGAAAGAGAATGGTATTATGAGTAAATGCAAACGACTGATACAGATCGATTGAAGATATGAATAATAGTAACAAAAAATATAATAAATATTTATCTATGTAAATAAATATCGATTCATCTTCAAAATACTATTCACTACCTATTAGAAAACTCGTATCCATCATGCAAGCTCTACTCATATGAGACTAACAATTGCCATCTCCATATGTACAGTTTGTTTTAGAAATAAATGACGTTAATCTTAGAGAAGCTTGTTTATTCAAGGGTGTTGGGTGGATGTGAGGCATGAAATAGTAATATGATTTAGTTTTGCTTGAAGAACTTCTTTTAATGACTTAAGGAAACTCTTTGGTCAGTTATGTAAGTGTACAGGAGACATGTTAACTAGATTGGATGATGTTTCTTTTTAACAAAGCTTTTCTCTATCAACAATGAAGTCGGTCTTTTTCTTTTTGTAAACAAGACAGCACCGATCAAGTATTCAAACATTCTGAATTGATTTAAACCGAAGTAAAACTATTCAAAGTTTCCTTCAGATATTAGAATCAATATGATATGTGCATTGATTTTAGTTGCATTATAAGAAAACAAAAATAATTATTAAAAATGTTTGAAGAAATATTGAAAAGTGATATTTTTACAGTGCACAAAGTAATCTAAAAAAAACATGTACCATTATCGATAGGTTTAGCTGGCATATCTTCTTTTTTGTTTAACAACGATTTAGAAAATATAAGTCAAGTAATTCTAATGTAATCCATCGATACTCAATACATAAACAAATTCAAAAGAAAAAAAAAGCATTACTTTTCTCTTCGCTTAGACGATGCCAATTTTAGAGCTATGTTTCAAAAAAAGAACTGTTTTAATTGATTGTCTGATATAATTCAAAATTATGTCAAAAAATACTATTGTTCTCAATTGATTTATATCTTTTTCAGATATTTGTAGTGTCTCCCAACAATAAGATTTAAGGAAACATCATTCGAAGTAGACAAACATGTAAAAAACTGTGCGTATTTCAAATCAAGTAGATACTAATATCTTTAAAAATATTCAATTGATTAGCCTCTGATTACTTAATATTATCGATTGTGATTTGCCTCTATTAAATTCTTCTAATACGTCATATAATTATATTACAAAAGCTGCTATCTTGTATTTCTTTTTATTATAACGATGATTCTTTATTATAATATATTCGATTTCTTTTTATGTTTTAACAACTTCATAAATGATAGGTAATACGTTGTACATTGTTGGACCTTGAAATTTTAATATAACTTGATAATTTGAATCCGAACTTTGTATAATAACATCGTCAGATGATATTAATTCAGTTTCTTGACCATTCAATATTCGGTAAATTTTTACATCATAATCTTTGAATTGTTTGAGCTGTTCATTATTTAGATAGATCGAATATGGTTGACGTTCTTGTGTAAATGGTGTTTCAATATTTATGGTTAAACTATTCGTTGAATCAGACCACCAACCAAGACCGACCGTAGTACATGATTTATATTTTGTATCACCTAAATTTAGGATTGCTGATTTGCATGTACGAGGTGAAGTAATGCCAGTCCAACATGGTAGCGAAGAATTGAGTATTTTAACAGTACAAGACTCCTGTATAATGGGCGTTGAATGAATCAATATCGCTGCTATTAAAACCAAAAACGCAATGATTGATAACATTCGATATTATTTTTTGAAAGCCAAATAAAAATAACGAAGACAAAAGCCTATCTTTATACTCATTTTATTCTTTGCATACAATGCATGAGAAAAAGCAAAAGAAACACAAAAGATATTAAGTGATAGAATAATGACGAAAAGTAAAGAAATTGAAATGACTTTGATGAATCATCGTTTTATTTTATACTTTTTATTGCGTTAATAACGTCAACTAAATTAATGAAATAGAGCATTGCTATTTTCCTATATAGTACTATGGGTTCATTTCATCAAACAGCAATGTAATGAAGTTTGTACTTTGTTTGATTTTAAAGACATACATAAAATTGATAGATATATCAATCAATCGTAATTCTTACTTCAATTATTGACTAAATTAATTTAAAGTTGAAAAACCTAGAACTATTTTTTCTCATCTTTCTTTCTTGAAAAATAGCCGGAATCGAATTATTGCATCGTTGTTATAAAGTTTCTCACAAACAATCATATGCCAAAACTAATAAATAAAATGATAGG